AATTTTGGGATACATCTTGAATTTCATGGACTATCCAATTGTAGGTCTCTATATTAACTCTAAGAATCCGGTATTCACTAGTCGCCTCAGAGCCCATGTTACTGTGAGCCATGTAAAGATCATCTCAAGATGTCATATTTATAGTCATAAAAAGTTAGTTCTATTGATAAAACATAATATGTCTGTAAAATATGTTCAGTATTAATAAATTAATCCCACTATTTAGTATATATATATATATGTCCCATGTAAGACCTAATTCTAGGCTCTGATACCACTTTGTCACACCCCAAAAAAAATTTTTTTTATTCCTTTTAAAAAAAAAATACCCGGGTGTGATTAAGGAATAAAGTTTACCGAACGTACAATAATCTTCCTTATATTATTTTATTTTCCGTACGAGTACATAATCCTCACAAGATCATTTCAAATATTCTTGATACAACATAAAGAGAAATAATAATAGCAGACTCTATCCTTTCAGCCTATCTTCCAGCTTGATTTCATATATCTGAAAAATGTTAAATAGGGATGAGTTCACCGCTCAGTAGGATAACGTTTATCAATGACTACCAAGGTTTTAAAACAATGAATAATATAATTACACCGCGAATAAATGCAGGAATAGGACGAAGTAATGAATCAAATAAAAAAATAAATTTCAGCACATATTGATCATATCAATCTGTCAATTTTCTAGTCCACACATGAACCGCCTTCGGAGAAAACTTTGGAGTTTTGTACCTTAGGGAACCCAATGCCCTTCTTGCTTTTCTGGAAACACCAATACCGGAAATTATGTGGTGCCACACAGGCTACCACGGCAACCGATATTACTAACCGGTGAACCCAAGGACTAGTAGGAATCCTGTGAATCCTCGCAAGGATCACGCATCTACTATCCCTCTGCCCTCGATTATTTGCATTTATAGTAATTTCATCAAAATCACAAAATAAAATCAAATCGTAGTCAGACTCCACAGTAAATCAAACATTAAATATTAATAATAAAATAGACATTTATTATGCAATATGGTTTTATGAGATAATTAGGGTCTCGATAAAAAAAAAATACAATATGTGCATGATAACGATTTATTTATAAAATCTCAGTTTGACCCCATGATATAATATTATGTTTTATAATTAAAAATATATTTGATATGAAACCTCCAAATATGCATAGAATGCATCAATGATAGTAAAAGATAAAAGAAACTCTACCTCCTTCTTGACTTCTATTCGATACCGTGTACCAAAGTTTTGATCGCAACCGCAAATTCTTAGGTCAACAAAATTTTTGACCCTTTTTTCCCTCTTTCCTCTGTTTCTCCCTTCCTTTCTTCCTCCCTTTCTCTCTTTTTTCCTTATGCCATTCAATGCTACTGATCTTGGCTATTTATAGCCAAGATTTTCTTGGCCTCCAAGGAAGTCATGGACAGGCGTCCATTTCCTCACCATGTTTTCCTTTATTTTTTTCTTTATTTTTTTTCNTTTCTCCCTTCCTTTCTTCCTCCCTTTCTCTCTTTTTTCCTTATGCCATTCAATGCTACTGATCTTGGCTATTTATAGCCAAGATTTTCTTGGCCTCCAAGGAAGTCATGGATAGGCGTCCATTTCCTCACCATGTTTTCCTTTATTTTTTTCTTTATTTTTTTTCTTTGTTGCATGTGTCTTAAAGCTTGTAAACTTCCTAAAGATGGCCCCTACATATATATATATATGGATATGCTTGTCCTTTCACCTGCACACACACACACACACGCACACACATATATAGATATAAATATGAATATATTTGTTACAATTTTTGACCTAAGTTATAGTTATTTGACTCGTTTTAACGTGAAGAGTCCATATTTGAAGTCCATTTGTTCATAAAAAAAATCTACTTTTTATTTATTAATATAAAATCATAATTGACGGCCTAATTAGCGTGTCGATAATTAATTTATATACGGGTTGTCACATATCTACTTCTCTCAACCATCCACTTGGATTGTCCCTGATATAACATTCAACTACCCATCTTAATTTTCTCTCCACTCACCTCCATACTTTTTAAGAATTTACAGATCGATAAAAATCACTTTATTCTAAAAATTTTCTCATTATTAATGACATCATTTGCACAAGTATTGCGCGTATCGCACTTTCTAAGACTTTACAACTTACAAAATAGGGTTATCGGAGTAGAACATAATTATCAATTGCAAACCTATCATCAACTTGCAAACCTATCATCAACCCCTTTTTGATGGATTGGGCATAGTTTATTTGGTATGGTGGGAGGAAAAAAGCTTTGATTTTCAAAATGGGTAGATTAACCTTAATAAGTTTTGGCTAGCATTCCAACCAATTTGTTATTCCTTTGGAAAGATCGCAATGAACATTTAAAAAGGATGAGTGATTTCTTGTGCAAACGCTAGTGGTGAAGACAAGAAGGATCATTTCATTAGTTGGGAATTATTCTTCTCACCAATTGAAAACATAGAAGTCAAACAATTAAAGCAACTCTGGTTTTGTTTCTCCCTCTCTAGTAGCCCCTTAATTTGATCAAGATCCGTCGAGATTTAAGAGAAAATTTTTATGGTTNGGATCATTTCATTAGTTGGGAATTATTCTTCTCACCAATTGAAAACATAGAAGTCAAACAATTAAAGCAACTCTGGTTTTATTTCTCCCTCTCTAGTAGCCCCTTAATTTGATCAAGATCCGTCGAGATTTAAGAGAAAATTTTTATGGTTATATATATATATGTAAAGCCTCAATCTGGTGTGTTCTCGTTGTCAAGAGATTAAACTTGAGGTGCTCATTTTTGTTCTTAAGCTTCGTTTTGGACAAACCACCTCGCTTTGGATCACTTGAGGCAAGCTGACTTCGCCAAGCACCTAAGCGATCGTCTAGGCATTCTTTTGACAGCATTGATTCCTAGGGCACCACCTTCCTTCTTTTGTGGACTGACAAGGTTTTGGGAGACATAACAAAAATGTGACTCCAAGGAATTGTGCAATCTCTGTACTATTGGGGACAATCGGGCGAGNTGAGGCAAGCTGACTTCGCCAAGCACCTAAGCGATCGTCTAGGCATTCTTTTGACAACATTGATTCCTAGGGCACCACCTTCCTTCTTTTGTGGACTACAAGGTTTTGGGAGACATAACAAAAATGTGACTCCAAGGAATTGTGCAATCTCTGTACTATTGGGGACAATCGGGCGGGAATCAGACATTAGAATATTTGAAGACCATTTTGAGTTGGTGGGAGGTTTATGGGTTCGCATTCATTTTTTAGCATTGTTATGGCCTTATGGGCTTCAGCATCTAAGGACGTCAGGGAATTCCGCTTTTTGGCACACTAACATATTAAAGTTTATTTTTTGTTTTAGTTTAACGTAGACATCTTATCCATCATTTTCTATTTTTAGATGTACTACTTTTTTTTCTTGGAAAATAGATGTACTACTTTTAAATTTATATAATCATCTTGTTTCATATACAAAATAAAAATGGATTGAACATGGTAAATCATCCAATAAGTTTGACTCGTAGAAACTTTTTATATTTTATCACTAAAGATTTCTCTAATACGTAATGTGTGATTAAAATATTGGTAACAAAATGTCTTATTTATGGTGTAACAACCAACATCAGAAACATTTGAATTGTTTCAAATGCAGTCGGGATTAACTGTTTAAAAGCTGTCAAACTTATCATAAAGAAAAGTAAATCAAGTTGAATTCTCGGGCCTTGTCAATATAAATTACTCAAATTCCAAAATACTTATTTTTCGTATATTCATGTTTTAACCAAGTTTGAATTCATCTTGATTTTGTAACACAAATATTCTTAAATATTTAACACCTTACATACTTGGTGTATGCTCTTTGTTACTTGGCCATTTAAAGTTTGAAATAAAGTAGATGAATCCCTTTTCCATCCTTTGTTTGTGTGCATTTTTCTATGTTTTTAATGACCTGTCATTGTGTAGAACTTAGGGGCAGAGCCACAAGGGGCCAGATTGCACCACGACCATTTGCCCCCTTAAATTTTTTAAAATTTCAATAATGGTTATAATCTTTTCTTTTTCAATAAATTAGTGGTCCACTAACCCTCTAAATTTAAAGTTTTATTTTTGGATTAAGTAAATCAAACGTTATTGTCCAAATTTATTTGTATATTGACTCAAAGACAATATTTATCTTTATCTAACACAATGTTCGCCACTTTTTAAGTTTTCTTTGATACTATTTATCTTTATCTAACACAATGTCCAAATTTATTTGTATATTGAACAATATTTATTTTTAGTTTTCATTTACCATTTTTTTAGTAATAGTAGTCTGTAACCTAACAAAATACGATTGTATACAAAAGACAACAGGTTATAATCAAAGGATATTTCAAACTATTTCGAATAGCAAATTTTTCTTGATAATTATCTCAACTAAGTTTTGTATATAAATGATGAATGATTTTACTACGAAGTTGTAATTGTGCGCCCCGATAGAAAATTAGTGAAAAATTAATTTACATTTAATTAATATAAAAAATTTAAGAGATTTTAAAAAACATTGTATTTTATTGAAATACATAATTGGGTTAAAATTTACTAAAAAAATTATTTTGTGTCTTTTTATTCAGATTTTGTTTCGACTAAATAAAATTTAAATGTACTATTTCACAATAATTTTATATTGAGTCTTAATTTTTTGTCATTCTTAAACTTAATTTTTTTGTATCAACTAGTCAATTATTTTAGTTATATTTTGCCCCTCCTCATAGATATCCGTGGCTCCGCCCCTAGTAGGACTCCTTGTCCACCCTTGATTTAGTTTTCTTGTAATGTTTTTTTTTTGATTATCAACAAATTGCTGTTTATAATTGAAGAAGATAAGCTCAAGATCTAGCAAAACACTTTCGTTGTGGAGGGATCTATCAAATCTTCAATCCTCACAAGAAATGCAAGAAAAGAACTTTGAGCAAAAATAATTTTAAACTGCTATATAATCAATAACAAAACCTTTAAAGCGCGCCCAAATGCTTCAAGCACCTCAACAATAACTTCAGACACCTTTTTCCCTGCAAGGAACAAGTTGATGCCATCACCATTTTGGAACTCACTCATGAACATAGAATTTAGAAACAGAGACATACCCAAAACATGCACAGACAAGAGAAGAAATTTATTGCTTACCTTGCATGCTCAAGACCTGAGAAATTTCTACCATGTTTAACCCCTGGTCACCAGCCTTTTGAATGGCTGAATAGACAGTCTTAAAAATCTCAGGATAGAAAGGACTCCCTCGTTCTTCATCAGAAGGTAAGGACACGAGATGTTCAGCATAGCAAGTCATAGCTTCCCATAATGACTCACTGGGAGCAAGTTTTGTAGGGATGGTGTTCCCAGAATCAAGGATTTCCTCCATATAGTCAGAAGAAGATGAATTGGTGCCAATGTTTACCCCCGAAGTAGCACCGACTTGATCATTTTCACCAAAACGGAAATCAGCAAAATGGATATTCCCATCTTTAAAAAATTCCAAAGCATTGGCTCTAGAAATTGTTGCACGACTTAAAGATACCCTAATACCAGGAAAACCTTTTTCTCGGCGAGAAGTAATCTCACCTTCTCCGGCCAATAAAGGTTTCAATCTCTTAGCCTTATCACCAATGTGAACCTCCAAGTTATCAGATTTACGTTTCAAAGTTCTTGAGTCCTCAGCCTCTCCAATACCGTCATCTGGCAAATATGGTGTAATTACCAGTTCTCCTGAAGAAATTAGAGCACACATATGGAGAACATCACCACACTGCAGATCTGCAGTAAGATCAATCCCCTCTTCCATCAAATCTTTTTCTCTTTCATAGAGCCAGCTAGCAAATTGAGTAGCTCTTTTTCCCGTATTAGATGGAAATGTAGATGAAGAAATGCGTTGCAGAAAGTGTTGAGAAAGTACAAAAGGACTACTGCCACTGCCCCCAACCTGACCAAGGGAGAAGAACGTAAATACTTAAAGAGCAAAACGCTTTCTTTTGTAAGTAAAACATAACACATCTGAAAATCACCTCCTAAACTAACTGAGCAGAAAAGGAAAATAGGCACAGGCAAACAAAATGACAGTATATTCCAATGTAACTGAGCGAGAGAGAGAGAGAGAGGAGGGGGGAGATCAACCGACCAAGTCCTCAAGACAGCCCTTGTCACTATTTCGCAACTCCAACTTGCAACTGTGATCTTCTTACTCAAACCTCACTTTTGCTCACATTCGACAGTTAAAGAGCCATCATGAACCAGGGTCATTATCCTGTTTGATGCCCCTTCAACAACGGCATTCGTAAGGGTGAATTTGGTATAAACTAAGATTTTGGGCTCTCACAAAGTTAATGTCCTTAAATTCAAACTCATAGCACATTAGTGAGCATGATACTTTTAACAGCACCAGGGAAATGGCCATTCCAATCATGAACCACATAAATTTATTTGCTGCTTCTGTGTGGTTAAAAAATTACATTTGAAATGGATCATATGATTGAACAACAAAACCCACCAGTGAATCTAAGAATTAGAAAAACAGAATTTACCATGATTTTTTTGTCTCTAAGGTAGTTAAAGGCAGCAAAAAGATCATGCTCAGAATATCGCCGTAGAGTTTCAGCAAGCAAATTTGGCACTTCTGGAGCTGTTGAGTTGCTCAGGAAGATAAGCTTAAATAGCTCCGCAGCATTGGAAACTGCCAAAGATACATGTGCTTGTTCACTAGCGCCAGTACCTTCATTCAAAACCTTGATATACTTTCGAGGAAGCCGACGCCAGNCGCCGTAGAGTTTCAGCAAGCAAATTTGGCACTTCTGGAGCTGTTGAGTTGCTCAGGAAGATAAGCTTAAATAGCTCTGCAGCATTGGAAACTGCCAAAGATACATGTGCTCGTTCACTAGCGCCAGTACCTTCATTCAAAACCTTGATATACTTTCGAGGAAGCCGACGCCAGCTTGATCTTCGACCAGACAATTTACTTCTTCCACCACAAATTTGAACATCAAAAGTGGGAGCAGTTGATGAAACTGATGTTCTTTCCTTGGGTTCCTGCAAGCAAGGATGGATGAGAAGTACCAAGGGAAAGATAAATTAGAAGGATTCCAGTAGCAACCAAAAGCATGAAAAACAGAGTCAAGACAAACAATGCACCAGTGAATGCCTTCAGCAACAATAGTTAATACTGGTATACTACACAATTCAAAAAATCTGAAGAAAAACCTTTTAACCTTAACTCACATGACTGATAACAAGTGAGNCCAGTGAATGCCTTCAGCAACAATAGTTAATACTGGTATACTACACAATTCAAAAACTCTGAAGAAAAACCTTTTAACCTTAACTCACATGACTGATAACAAGTGGGATAAAAGCAGAGGCTACTTTTAACCTCAGAAGTTAAAACTCATGAGTTGGCTTAAATTTTACAAGAAGAAAAAAAATTCTGAATATCTCCCACGGCATCCCAAAAAATATTGTTCTGTACGTCGCTAAGTGAGTCAATCAGACCTCGCTTAAAGTCATGACCCTAACAAATTAGCACATTTATGTTTTTTAAGACACAGACATATCAGAAACTATAAACCAACAGTAGAATGTATGTGTAACTTACATGTATTTCAGCAATCCTATTCAGATCTGACTGCTCCTCAGATACAGATCGAACTCCTTCCAAGGTATCCAGTTTAGCTATGCGTTTGTATCGCAGAACCTCATCGAGGGCTACCTTTAAATTTTTGCTGTCAAAATCATCCCACCGTTCTTCAGAATCAAACTCTTGATTTTGTTCAAGACATTCAGAGTTCTTGTTAAAATCTTCTCCCGTGAAACAATCCCGAAGCATAACTCGGCAATCACCATGCTTTAATTTTTTAATCTGGTATTTATCAAGGTAATTGGCATATCGTTCACTAAGCATGTTACAGAGTCTCATTACAGTTTTTCTGAAACGAACATCCCTGTTCAATAATGACATTCTTCTTTTACAGCTATCAGGAGGTGCCGGAAGATTTGAAAGTGAAGCCCAATCTGCGCGGTGAAAGTTTGCTCCAAGAGCAGCACGGTGTCTTACGTATTCGATCACCAACTGCCTGGGATAGAAATTGGCTTATATGAGACACAAAGAGACATGAAAGTACTTCATAGAAACAACACCAGATAAAAGAAGACTTGAATGAATAATCAGGCCGACTGCAAAGGCATTACCAACAGTGTGATGATATAAGGTATCAAGCATAATAAGNAAAGTACTTCATAGAAACAACACCAGATAAAAGAAGACTTGAATGAATAATCAGGCGGACTGCAAAGGCATTACCAACAGTGTGATGATATAAGGTATCAAGCATAATAAGGAGGAAATTCTAAGGCTCACTTCATCATAGAGTTTCAACATAGTGAATGCATTTCTATTTGTTAGAGCACCCAACTCAAAACCCCTCAAGTATATAAACCAATCTTAGGTGGTCCTAATGGTTAGATGTAGGATACAAGTCACTTTACAACCTCCCACAGGATGCGGGCTCACACGTGGGGCTAACAAACAACCATGCAAACTGGGAAGTTCAAATGGGTAACTGACTTAGCCCACTCAGCACCCAAGGTCCAGCTCTGATACTATGTTAAGGAACCCAACCCAAAATCAATTGGCAATGAGTACAATAGTCCCTCAAGTATATAAACCAACCTTGGGTGGTCCAAATTATTCAATGTGGGACGTAGATTCTCTTTACACTATTAACTTCAACTTCACCACCCCTAAAAAAAAAATTACAACAAAAGGACAAAGAAAGAAAAAGTTAATAAATGCCTACTCTCAGACAATTGAACTGAGAAATGAGACATATATGATAAATCCTCCTGGGAAAAATGCTGCATTTTCTATCCTTATTAAAGTAACTTATTTTCAGCATATTGTCCATGCAGTCTAGTCATCAATGTCTATATTTCTCTGATGCTTACCTATCTGCTTTTTCTGTCCAAGAAAACTTTCTTTGATGCATTGGCTTCAGCCTTGATAAGGCACACTTACGAATAAAAGAATGATCCCCTTCATCTTCTTCATCTGATCCTGGCTCTTCTAATTCCTTATGATCATCAACCTGATGTCTCTTTAAATTATCTTCATTCCCTACTGAAGATGTGAAAAAATTTTGTTCTTCTGCAACTTGGCCATCAGTATCAGAGAATTTGGAATGCCTCCGCTCTCCCGATTGTCCGTCTACAGTGTCACTGTTTACATGTTTTAATGACTTTCCTTCAGAAGATCTTTTTCTTTTTAGCGAAGACAAAGCATGTGTTCTCTCCTGTCGATCAAACCCTTTCCCTTTTGCATTAAAAACACCCTGCAGTCTAGTAAGACGCTTTTGTCGCTTATCATAATAGACACGAAGCACCTGCAGTGGCATTTGGAACATTGGTGTAACATCAAGAACAACATAGGCAGATTTAATTGAAATATCAGAGTAACCTGAATGTTATTAAAGAATCAGATTTGCAAGTAGATACATTAGGTTGATAAAATCACCACATCTCAATCCAACAGTCCATGGAAAACATTTTCCGGGTAGATGTCAACATTATCCAATAAAGCGGCAGGTCAAATTTTTTAAGGTGATCATTTGACTGAATTGGTGCATTGTATACATTTGTTTTATCTGAAACAAAATTTTATCATGAAAATATGAACATATTCATTCGCTAGCTGATCTCTACAATATATTTGATGGATATTAGTGTTGCCAAAATAGAAACTATAACTGTTAAGCACACTGCAAAGCTGACAAACCTGCTCTAGTGTCAAATTAAGATCCTTTGCAATTTTCTCACACTCTTTGAATGAAAGCTTTTTGTTTGGGCCATCATTCACTATACATTTTAGGAGCTCAGCGCGCTGATCTGCTGTCATAACCCGGACTGAGGCCCATGATCGAAAAAGAAACACCTAAATAAAAGTTTGTCCTTGTAAGTCTTTTTGGGCAGGGGAAATCAAATACAACAAAGGGAGAGGAATGAGTAGCAATAAAGTCATCAACAAAAAACATATACATAGAAGAATAAATGTTGTACATCACCTTCATATCACGGAACTTATGGATCAACCTTTTATGTATGATTTAACTAAGGAAAGAGGATCAAAGATGCCAAATGGAAAACTTCTAGAAGAGTAATGTCTCCCATTCATATTGAAACAATAACATGGCAGAGTTATGGCTTGCCAATCAAAAAAGTCTAGTGAAAACACGTATTTTATCTTTCTTTTTGGTTCAGTACATGAAACATTGTGATAAGAAAATTAATTAGCAACCATAGTGACGTCCCAACATAATATGAGCATACAGCACAAAAGGCAGGTCCCTAGATTTGCAGTCTCTCAATCCTAGTTCCTACCCCAGAATCAATGGTCGATGTTTGGCAGTGAAAGATACCACCCAACTCTACATCAAACATGTCAAACTCTTAATGGACCTGAAGTTTGGTCCCAGCAGAAAGGGCAATTCATAAAAACGAGGGAATTTAAATGTCACAATCATGATCACTTTTGTACAGTACAAGCCACATTTTTCCTTTGTTTTCAATCCCGGGTAGAAATAGTAAGAGGCAGCACACCTATTATGAGATCTTAACAGACAAATGAACAATAAACCATAGCAAATTCTCTTAACTCAATTCACCAATATCGAATATAGCGTAAACAACTGCATGTATACTAGAGTTCCCATCCAACAAGGCAGTTGAAATCAACCATTATGGACAAACACACAAAGTTGACCACACCTCATGAACTGCAGATCCAGGGAATGAATGTAAAGCAGCTCTCGAATTAGCAGCAGCGTAACAGTACTCTAAAGTGTTCCAGTACTCATGGACAGCGTTTCTGCTTGAAAGAACAAAATCATGTCTAATTTGTGGGCGAAGATCAAGAGAAATAAAATCTGAAGATTGGTCAACTACTGTGACAGGTTCTTCAATGTAAGGTTTAAGTTCTAGTGCATGTGTAAGAGTGGCATGCTGGACTTTGACTGCATCTTCTGAATCTCCACTACTCACTAGGCGAATTAACTGCCATAAAATCCATGAATATAAGGCATTACAATTTTGAAATATAAAGATAAGAGAAACTAATATACATGAAAACATACTACAGAAAAAGTGATAATCCCATTCTTCAGATGGTAGGTCAAAGCCATCTGCCTCAGAAGAGGGTGGATTGGAGGAGGAGGGGGGGAGGGGGGGCATTTTCCCTCAGCAGAAGAGTTTGACAAATTTTAAAACCAACTAGTCAAGAAAAGTTATAGTATTTCCAATGAATATTCAAAATTATACAATCAGCTTGCAACACGTTTATCTGGGAATTCATGAGAATACTCAAACTCACCAAACCCTTGTACCAAATATTAGGCATGACAAAATTAATGTTCTATGAAATTTCAGGCTGGAAGATTGTCCGGATGAAACTCAACCAACAGGGGCTTCTAAACCACAAAATGAGTGAAGTATGACTTGTTTTAACTTTTAACTCCCCAGTAATAGCATGAATATATAAGGCATTAAAATAGTTCAAAACAAGTATAAAGCGGCATACATGTTGAACTTAAGGATAAAAATTGAACTCAAGTGAGCATGACATGGCATTGTACCTTCAAACGACGTAGAATGTCAATAAGATATGAGAGCCGTCCCGTTGCTTGGGTATCTAAGATATGCTTAAACTCCTGCAACGGAAGATTAGAAAGGCACAAACCTGTCCTACATTTCTCAATCATATCGTCAAAGTTTTGAGTGGACCCCACAACCTGTAAGAACAGCTCAAGTGGCATGGCTTTAATGGCTAAATCTAGGTCAAACAATTTGCAAGTTCTGTGGGGATTCTTGAGGTCATCCCCATGTTCACCTGATGATAAAGCATCATCCCAACCAGGTAAACTACAGAGCCAACCCCACAGAAAGATGTGCAGCAGCTTTGTACGAACCATTTTTGCAAATACAAATCCATTAACTCGCATGGCTTCTGACCTCTCAGATTGGACATCTAGTTTTACACTTCTAGAAATTCTTTGGACACCATGCAATACAGGAATTGATTGACTCTTTTTCAATCGAGAAAAGCCTTGGCCGCGGACTTGCATCTCAAAAGACCGCAATCTTTCGTGAATTTGACCCAGCAATTCAGGGGACACATTATTGACTGATGGGTGCAGAACCACGTCCATGGTACGGCTGCGACCACAGTTTGTAACAACAGGGACACTAACACGAATGCATTTACAATGTCCTTCTTGCTGAAGCTTATTCAAACTACGGTCTAGGGTCTTTCTATCCATCATTGTGTGCTTCTCCTTCTCAAGACTCTCAAGATGCCTATGTAGCTCAGCTTTTATAATGAACTTCTCCCCCTGCCCAAGGAGAAAGAAATGTACAAAGGTTCAATTAATATAAGAAGTAGCCTGGTAGAAAGAAGAAAGGAGAGTTGCTGGATGACAAGAAAGACCTGCAACATTTCAAGTATCCGCTGCTCCCTCAGTGCGCTAGCTGCACCTAGAGTAAGACATGGATACCTCTGATATGATCGGCGTCTCCGTGGTGTTAATAAAGAAGGGGGCGATGTTTCTGATGGAACAATATCTGATACAGTTGTTGTATTCACCGTCTGAAGTTCTGTGTCTGGAACTATATCACCAAGTTCATTGGCAAAAGTCTCTGGACTCCTTGGGCAAAGTAGCATATTGTTACCATCACCAACTAATGGTGAACCATGGCCGTGAGTAATTTCTGCCTCAATTTCTATGTTTACATTATCTCCGGACACTCTAGTCTCACCTTTGGGAGTTGAATAATCTACCTCTTCAATGGATTGAGTTGGCATCTCTTGAACTTCTGGATCTCCAGTAGGTGAATTACCTACACCTTTATCATTAAAGACAGGTTCTGTTTTATCCAGAAGAACATTAGGTGCATCAGGATTGAAATTGTTCGATGTCCAAACTCGATAGGCCACGCCTCTATTAAGACTTTCTGCCTGTAGATGCATGCCAAACCTAGAGAACATGTTAAGAAGCCGAGTATAGTACCGCTTATTGTTTATCCTGAGTCTCTTGCATACCTGTTTATGGTGTTATGTAAACAAAAATTTGCATAGGCATTAGTAGTTGACATTGCAATATGTACAGGTTGGCGAGAAGGCATCACACAAACCCAAACAATTAAAACACACTTCAAAAAAATAAGCATGTACTGTCCACCAAGATACGTACGAGTATTAAGTACCAAATGAAAGACATTAATGCTGGGGCAATTCAAGCATAGGTTGAATTTATCGACATGGTAACATAAACATGAATGTAAGTGCTACTAACAAGTGGATTCGACATATTTTTTCAGCTATGTGGATGAGTCCCGTTTCCAACTATAATTTAAAGTGAACTGCTAACAACATCATCATTCTATCATCTAAAGTTCACATGTTTAAACATTAATGTATTGCCTCATTTCATTGACTTTAGAAGTTCACATTACAACTTATTACTATAGTATTCAATTCACACTGCTCGAAACTCGAGATGTCTTATCTTCTTATATGAAACTGCCCGTTTAATCGATCTTGAGATTGAGGCGCTAGCCAGAGATGACCCTCTTTGAAGATCTGGCCTTGCATGGACTGCAGTGTTGAACTGATTCTAATCCTTGAGCTGATTGGAATCCTTGACTTCGACCAGGGAAGAGCTAATAACATCAACATGCAATGCAATATCTAATTTGTTTTCAAATGTGGCTACAAAAGGAATATAATTGCTATTTGTCTTTCAGTTTGGTAAATGAATGATAAAAGAGAAATTCATAAAAATCACATGATAGGCAATAGGACATCTGCCAATTAGTTTTATGTTGCAGCACTTATGACGTGATGACAAGTAAAAGTGGCAATGACTCGTTCTGGGCAGATCACCTATAAAAACACAAAGTTGATTATGCTTGAACCCAGCCCAACCCATATAAGATTACATTGATTCAAACCCGACTCATTCAATGTAAACAAAAAATGTAGATTGTAAAATTATGATATTTTATTTCCAAAGCCATTATGATAATTGATCTCCATCATAATATTTGCTTCATTAGCATAAAATAGAAAAATACACTGATCAATAGGGTCTAGATAGGTCTGTCAATTGCAACCTAGGGTTAGCGAACTCAGTTCNTTGATCTCCATCATAATATTTGCTTCATTAGCATAAAATAGAAAAATACACTGATCCATAGGGTCTAGATAGGTCTGTCAATTGCAACCTAGGGTTAGCGAACTCAGTTCACTTAAGAGTTATGACCCCTCTCAGGAAACTCAGCTCACCACTGCCCACTCACTTTGGGCCGAGTTTGGATATAATATAATGAGCCAGATATGAAAACCTACTAGCTTAATCTATTTACAGTCACAATTATATGAGTGTTTTCTTATACAAGGATCCCTAAATCTCGGGTACCAACAAGTGCTTAAGGAAGAGTTGAATATTGATTCAAGCAACAAGTAGCGAGCGCTTGTTGCAAGTCACCCCTAACGATACAAGTATACAACATAGGCAAATGGAAAGACAGCTAGAGAGGAGAAGGATTACCCAACACATGAATTAAAGTAGTATCCGTTTCACTTTGGATACCAAAGCCTGTATTCCTGTCCCTGTCAGTTCAAGGCCTGGGGTGTTATATGCAAATTTCAAAGATAGGGTTAATCGATGACAATTACTGTTCTAAGTAGAAATATTTTTATATGCATGTATTTCATAGCCCCAGAAAAGCAAATCTAGTGCTTAGTGGAAAACATTGAAATTGAATTTCATTTGGAAATCACAACTACTCTCATTTGGTTACAAATATAAGATTTTGACAAGGGAGATCAGAGCAAACAAGACTTGATCCTAGGTTTCACTCCTTCTCATGTAATATTGATTAAAACTAAATATGGGACTTGGGTATGCCCTTGCGCCGACAATATGTTGAACGATACCGTACAAACCTAACAGGCAACTACTGCCACCTATGCAACTTTATTCATATGACTGTGATGGATCTCCTACCTCAGCTGGAACATGTCTTTAAAACTTTAGAGTATTCATACCCCATATCTAGACCAAGTGATGGTGTGGAACTCCAACTTTTGTTGGCTTTAGACCTCACTCCAACAACTCAGTTGAGAGCTCTGTGTTTGTTTCATCAGAAGGGTCATCGATGATTGATAGGTCATTCTTCCCAATCAGTCTCTTGATCCCTCATTCCATTAATCCATTGTTACTAGTCAGACAAGACATAGACTCCCCTTATTTTTGTCTTATTAGTACACATCTTCGGCAACGATGAAACTCGTTGAACTTGGGACTTGAGTTGAGTTTAGAAAGAAAGGTAGGCCCCTAGAAGGAAGATGGGTGGATTATACAGCTAAAGGCAAATCGAAGGGTGTCCTTTAGGTTTGGGTATGCAAGAGCCTCAACTGGGCCAACATTAGATCAAGAAATCATTTCGCTCCTTGTCCCCTAAAATGGGTGATATGTTCTCTTACAATTTTGCTCCAATCTAATCTAGTTGGGGAACGATCCTAGTTCACATTAGACAAGCGGACAACCCCAAAGTGTAAACATAACTATAGGTCAATAGTTACCTAAGGAAACATAGATTCAATTTGTATCTTGACTGGGAGGCATCTAGATCATCCTTACTTGAGATGCATAAGGGAGTCAATCTACAAGCTCGGACAAACGTGGTATTGCTACCCCTCTCTAAGAAGGTGAGACCATTAGCCCTATTGACGACTCCATCTAGAATAAAATAGGGACAATTGTTTTCAATTGGTCATTTCATATCTTGAAAAAAGTAGGTATGCCTTCAAGTAATAAGGGTTAGGCCAATGAGAGTTATGACATTGTCCAAGTGATTTAGGGCCTCCCCTTATCCTGAATGCGAGCATGATTCGAGCATGGTCAATAATACATTCAAAAAAATAATAACCAAGATGATTGTTAATAGTATTCCCTATCATTGCCTTGGACTAATAACATCCTACCATGGTAATGATGTGATCTACGTAATGTCTGACTCTGTTTGCGCGCTTCTCTCCCTTCGTCGAATCAATGGAAGGCTACTGGACATCAGGTTTGCTTAACCTACAAAGCTATCTTACTAACACAAAGGAGTTATTCGCTTACTGCACGAGGTAGCTAAAAAACCAGTGAAGCTTTTCTACTTGCATATCAATCCATTGAAAAAATCTCTTTTCACCTTTTCATAATGGTAAGGTAGATTTCAAAAAAAAAAAAAGATGGGCCATTTCTTTCCGCTGGGAAATCAACTCTAGGTTCACGTAAACATAAATAACTTTTCCTCCTGATCTACTTTAGGACCATCAAAGATCTATTCTCTAAGTTTTGAAATATTTGGCTTGAACGAACAATAAGATAAATTATTCATCTCCAAATGATAGTTGGGGTGGGGAATAAAATGAGTCTTCTAAAAAGTTTGGAGAGATCAGGAGATTCACTTCATACTCCTCTACCTGAACAATTCATCTTTGCAGGGTGGTCATATAGAAGATTTTGATGTCAGTGGTATTAGGGAAGTTTTGCAAAGCAGTCCAATCAGATGCTATGATAATTAAGTTATGTCTCTTTTTTCTTTCTTTTAAAAACTACAGTAACACTACCCTAACTAATTGTTTTTGACAGATAGGCAACATGCTACAGTGACGTNGCTATGATAATTAAGTTATGTCTCTTTTTTCTTTCTTTTAAAAACTACAGTAACACAACCCTAACTAATTGTTTTTGACAGATAGGCAACATGCTACAGTGACATAGCACAACCTTTAATGAAATCAGTATTTCCATAAAGGTTGCATGCAGTGGCTAGGCAAGCTACTGGGAGTTTCTTCGCATATGAAGGCATAGGATTTTAAGCAGTTCAAAACAATACATGCTACTAGCCCATGATTATTCTATGCTACAACATTTTGCTCTAAATGCTTTTACATGAGCGGCCCATATTTTTTTGGATCAAACTAGGGTTTGGCCAAGTTTTAAATGCTCAAACCAAACTCATTAAAAACTTGGGCGTAAAGGGTGAACAAATGAGATTTAGGCCTCCTCAGCCCTTCATGGTCCCAGGATTGCTCCTGATTATATTATTCTGATGTTAGGCCATTCAACTAAAGTGAGTCATCCCACTCTGGCACAAGTTGATATACCCTAGATCACATAGAGCGGGCGCAGGAGAGCGATAGCCAAAGATTTCAAAAAAAGTTGAGAGCGAGAGTGCCACTGACGGTGTCAATGGCATCGTGATACACACGAAAAAAGGGGATGTCAAGGTGCTAAAAGTAAGAAAGAAAATTACTTATTAGAGATAAAGAAATAAGGAAAGCACAATGGGATTTTAGAGCAAAACAACTCATTCCATCGGTAGACTATCACCAAGTTAAATAGTTTCATTGCTATAAAAAGCACAGCCACCAGCCCACATTGATAAGCAATGAAAAATTTGAATGGTTTAACTGTTATAAATTCTTCAACTTATTGTTGTGGTGGAAAACAAGCAAAAGATTGGGCCCCAAATTTGGGGCCAAACCTAATTGAGCACCGAATAGTTTGGATTGGGCCTCAATCCAAATTAATATTTAGTCTAAAATGTTTTGTATTTGTGGAGTTAAATCCCAAATAGTGTAGTCCAAAGATTATGATTACAGAATTCGCAGATTCGTTAATTGAGTTCGTGGATTGGTGCCGAATTCTCTTTGAATTCGCGGATTGGCATTTGGAACGTGAGTCCGTTGGGGTTGATAGACGAATCATGTGATCTAGGATATACCCTATAAGTCTATAAAAAATTGAGAGATTTTTTTTTTTTTTTTTGGATCAAACTTGTGAGATGTTAACTTCTACTCTCACGGGTGGAGCTAGGATAGTTCCATAGTGGGGGCAAGCTAAAACTAATTAATAAACTATATAATGATTTAATTTTTTCACATAAAATATTAATCCTTAATACTTTTTAAAAGTACAATTTCATAAGTATAAGAAGTGATGCAAATCATGTGTACGTGAGTGATCTACAAAAATAAATTAGATTAAATTCAATCTATGACAAGTCTAGTAAACCCAACTTCGACAGAAAATTTAATCTATCACATGCAATATATTTAACTCCAATCACTTGAAAATTAAATCTAAATTATAATTCATAATAGGCAAATTGCAAGCAATTTAATCCAAAAAGTAATCCAAGCTAAAATTTGAAGTAATCAACCAAAACAATGAACCAACTGTGCCCAGTTTTAGGCATCTCACATAGCCGTGGTAATTGACTAACTCTGCTCATTTGGTCTCTTTCCATACCAAATCCTTGATCGCTAAGTATTTGTTAAAAGGCCACTATGAACACAGTTATAGATTACTCCTGGTAGATTCATTTGTTTCCTCGTAGTTTCCACACACTTTTCCTCTATGGCGATAAAAAGTCTCAATAAATTATAAAACCCATGAAAAAGCAAGAAACCTTTAGTGGGCTATTGGGTGCCAAGTCCCATTCATTGAATTTACATGATAATCGGACTGCAAGATTGGTCATAAAGAAGAGAAACAAGCACTATGGTGATGATGAAGTGGATATGGAATCATGTGTCATTCTCTTGGGAAGATTGCTTCAGTTGGCAACTGGAGAGAGTAAAGGAAGAAATGCAAAGGTGTCGTAACTTAACCAACGTAAACTTGACCCCTAATTTTCACAATCTTTCAGTGGGGTCAAGTTTTCAAACCTTCTAAACTATCCAAAAATATAACTAAGGTTCCAGAATTTTTTAAAATTGCAGTGGGGGCATCTGCCCCCAACTGTGGCTCTGCCACTGTCTACTCTTCTGAGTCAAAAAAAACTAAACTAGTGAAATGAACCAAAGCAAGCCAAACCAACTTAAGGCATGTTGCCTTGGTCAGTCCCAGTTTTAAGAAGCTCAAACCATTTTATGGTACTCATTTTTATATCTACCAATTTAAAGAAGGTGTAGCTGTTCAAAACCAATGGTAAAACAAGTCCATGCATAGAATGAAGACAAGAAACTCTATTCGTTATATAAACATGCTGCAACTGATAGACAACAACATAGATCCATGCAAGAATCTAACACAAGTGACAATAATCATATACAGGTGAAAGAAGGAGAATAAATCTAAAACAGCTGGGAAGACAGGGTTTCCCAATCCAGCTTTTCTTACAACAAGAGCTGATAAATTTCACTAATTTTGATGTACATTGTGACATAGACGTCATCAGTTCCATATAGACTGATAAAAGCCAAGAAAAAAATGCACACACCTCGGTAATTGTCAACCCTTTTGATCCTTCAGCATCAATCATATCATAAATTTGATATTCGATTGGAAGTTCTACAAGTTGTTCAGTGATTTGCCCTCTCTTTCCCATTTTCGCAAGTTGTTCTGTATCAAGATCATCATATCCGCATCCCGGAGTTTTTGGCTCAAAGCTTTTTGGAGAAAACTCCTTTAGCAGTCGCAAACAGCTGACCTCCTGCGAAAAGTGCAAAATCAAGTAAAAAACTAAGCATGGCAAGACATAATCAAACTCAAAAGTAGAACCACCCAAATTGGCAGCAATAAAATCTTAAATTCCAAATATAATATCATAGAGATGGTATCAAAGTCAAAATTATAGCCATGGCAAGACATGATCAAGACTTACCCTTTTGTTCACCTTCGCATAAAACTCCTCAACCACACGAGCATCTTTCAACCTGTGACAGATCTAACAGCGCGATGTGCGGGGTAATTTGTTTGAAACAATAACAAGATCAACTTTTTTATAATTTTAAAAACTGAAAAAAATAAAATAAACATAACTTACATTTCTCCAGGCTCTATGCCCAGAAGTTCCTTTATAACCAAGGTCTCGCTTAATATCTGAGACAACAAGTACCTTCGAAGGGGGAAGATGTTATAAAATAAGATCAGCACAATGGTAATCGGAAGACACCAGATAGATTTACGGCCATAATAAGACTGACCTTGCCATCAGCTTTTTCAAGTTTATCACAGATAGCTTTCAAAGCCGGTAGATAATCTTTTACGTGCACATCCTCTTTGATACATTCTTCAGCAACACCATCAACACTCACAGCACTTCCTTCAGCATTGTCATTTTCCAATGTTTTGTCCTCTTTGGTTATTTCAAGCCTTTGTTGAGTACCCAAGTGCTTTGCATAACGGTACAAGTGGAGCATGTTGGTGGCCACAATTGAACTATTTTTTGGCTCCCTTTCATTGCAGGCTTCTTTTTTCTTCACAATTGTTGACTGCCGCACAATCAGCCCGCGGCATTCAAGATTCCTCAGTACATAAAAGATGTTGTTCCCTTTCATGCCAAATTCCTTAGCAAGTTCACTTTGGGTAATTCCATTTGTTCTGTGGATGCAAAAGGTGTTAGCGCCCTCTAAGGAAACCTAGCAATCTCAATTCCCAAAATCAATTCAACAATTCAGTCAAAACCATCCACAGACAAGCAATTGAAACCATTGCACTAGCGTGACTCCACAGCTACACAATCACTGATCAATCTAATTACCACATATATTCAAATTGCATAAATACTAACATACTGGACTGCGATCAAAACTATACTTCGTGCACAAACAAAAAACTGAAGCATCCAAAGCTAATCAAAGCCAACAAACGTATCATTTCACAAACTTTGTTCAGTTCATCAGTCCTACCTCTAACGCAAATTACTCAAAGCCCATTACAGATTTAGCATCAATAAACAATCAAGCGTAAACACACAGTGCCAAGCTTCATCGCACATCTACTTACTCAGTAAATCATAGTTTAATGCCCAGTTGCCGAGGTGCATTACGATTAATCAACGCCTAATTTGTGTGGGCGGGGCTGTATGCCTGAATGTACTTTTATACACATGCATGAATACACTCGCCAAAATATATGTTAGGGTTTGTAAGAGAGAGTAAGTTAATGCAGAGAGTGAGAATGATGCTAACCTAGCAATAGCTAGGCGTTCCAGCGCACGACGCTGGGGCTGAGATATACTGGCATCAGAGGCCTTGATATCGTAAATACCGACGAAGCTGTTACGAAGATGCTCGGCGGCGACAATCTTCAAATTCAGCTTCTCAGACTCTTCGATTGACTGAATTGAAGGGTCTTGATGGTTGTACGAAACGCCTTGGGACCNTCAAATTCAGCTTCTCAGACTCTTCGATTGACTGAATTGAAGGGTCTTGATGGTTGAAAGAAACGCCTTGGGATCCAAATTGAAGGCCCGGAATGTTGAGGAGGTTGGTCCATAGCGCCTTTTTCACGTTGGGGCATAGATGGAGGCCCTGAGAGGAGAGTGGAGATTGAAGTTTAGGCCAGAGGATTGGAAGGGTGAGTCCATTAACGCCTTGTGAGCAGATCTCTTCGAGAGCTGCGTGGACGATGGAATCCATTGGGAAGAGATAGAAAAGAACATGAAACCGTTGGTGGCCGTTGGGGGGTGTGGCGGGTGAGAAAAAGGAGTGTCCTTCGTTTCGAAAACGGTGTGGTGCTACAGGCTTAACGGTAGCGGCAAGTTTGCGGGTTTTGCAGAGGGCGTTGAGGTAGGTTTAGGGTTCGAATCGTCCCTCTCAGCTCAGGAGATGGAGACTTATATCCGTGAGGTCTAAGTAGACTAAATGGGTATTTGGTGACCCACTGGGTCCCGCATTTAATCGGTTAATTGCACCAACGATCACTAAAGTATAGAATTTGATTTATTTTTATCCTCAATATTTTAATTGTATTATTTTGGTCTCTAAAATATTACATATCTATAACTTACAATTCAAATTTCAAAATATAAACAAAATGACTTTTGTTATTCGAAATTAAAATCGCTTTAAATTTTATTTTAAAATTAATCTAATGGCTAAAATTAACACCATAAATTTAATATGAAAAATAGTCTCATTAAGGTGTGTTTTGAGTAATTTTTTAAAAGTACTTCTAGAAATTATTTCTCGTAAATAATTTAAAAACAAAAAATAGTGTTTGAAACCGCCTCACCACTATCTCTACCACCATTATCACCGCCATTACCGCCTCCGCTATCACTGTCATCGTCATCACCACCACCACTACCACCGTCGCCACCACTACCACTACCGCCCTTACCACCATCGCCACCACAACGGTCATTGTCACCCACCACAAATATTACCGTCTTTTACCACCACTATTGTCGTCTACCACCTCTCACTCCCATTACAAGCCGATACTTAAATTTTTTTATCTATTCTCTATATTTATGAGTTGATTTTAGATATGAATACAAATATATTTATTATTTACCATTTTTTATTACTTTGTGCTTTCAGGCACAGACAATAACTAGTGTTTCTATATAATAAAGTACAATACAATTCAAATCTCAAAAGATAAACAAAATGACTTTTGTTATTCGCGGTTGAAATCTTTTTAAATTTTATTTTAAAGTTAATCCGACATCTAATATTAACACTCTAAATTTAATAAAAAAAATAAGGGCCTAAAGGTGTGTTTGAGATGACTTTTTAAAAGTGTTTTTAATTCTTATAATTTCTCATTAATATTTAAAAAAAATTGTGTTTGAAATCACTACTGCCGCCACCACCCTCCGCCACCACCGTCACCCCACTCCACCACCAAATTACCCCTATCAATATCACCATTACCACTACCACCTCCACCATTGCCACCCTACCCATTGTCTCACCACCACCATCACCACTACCGCCACCCCCCGTCCTTTACCACCACCATCACTATCGTTATCATACCACCCCTTACAATCACCACCGTTGTCATCCCACCACCGTCACCCAACTATGATTATCCTCATTACACTGACCACCACCACTGCCGTCGTCGTCGTCGCCACCATCTCTGCCACAACAAACACCACTGCCTATTATTACTACCGTCGTTATTACTATTGTCATCACCCTACCATCATCGCCACTTTCCAACCATCACCCCTACCACCACTATACATATCGCCTCACCATCACCTCTCACAACCATCACTATTACCATCATCGCAATCGCCACCCCACCACCACCATTACCATCCACCACCACCACCACTATCATTACTCATTATCACTTTTTCCTCTATATTTGTAATTTGATTTTAGATACAAATACAAATATATTTATTATTATTATTTTTTTAATTATTCTATGCCTTAAAACACAGGCAATAACTAGTGTTTTTATATGGTCCTTCAAGTAAATAATATCTAGATTGTTAATAATTTTTTATCATAAACTTGTCATATAATATTTAAATATAGATAAAAAATAATTTTGATAATTATTAAATAAAATTTAGATAGCTCTTGACAAAAAATTTATAATATAAGTAGTTTTTGACCAAATTTTGGATAATTTAAGATCAAAATTTTATAATTTTGATAGCTATTTAACCAAAATTTGAGTAAAAATTTGGTCAATAATTATCTAAATTATTATATTTTTTCATATTTAAGTATCACGTGACAAGTTTATGATAAAAAATCATTAATAATCTAGATGTTACCTGCTTAAGGGATCATATAGAAACATATTCAATACTTCAGGAACAAAAATAATACAATTGAAATATTGATAATCAAAATTAGACAAACCTCATACTTAATGGACCTCTAGAGCAATTAACCATTTTTTTTATCATGGGCAGATATTTTTAAGTTCCTCAAAAAAATAAAAAATAAAAAGTTTTTGCCTTCAAGTGATGGGATTATTTTCATTCTTAAAATATTTATTTTCACATTTATTGAATTATCTAGCATCAAAATTGCCATTTTCATCTCAATTTATTCTCACTCAATTGTTTATTATGTTCCAAAATTTTCTCTTCATGCGTAATACATAAAGAAATTCTCAAAATGTTTAAATTTTGGATACACAATTTAGTATCAAACTAAATTTCGAAGAAGGGTAGGAGAGGGACATGAAAAGGATAAGTGATTCAGTGTTTTGTATTCATTCTCCACATATGAACATGAATTAGTTTTTACTAAATCAATTTAATTCGGCTTCTTTCATAGCTAATAGTATTCACACAATGGATGTAGATTAGGGTAATTTTAGTTCATGATGAGACTAATATAGAATGAAAGAATAAAAATAATAATTTAGNTTCTTTCATAGCTAATAGTATTCACACGATGGATGTAGATTAGGGTAATTTTAGTTCATGATGAGACTAATATAGAATGAAAGAAAAAAAATAATAATTTTGGAATTATGGAGTTTAATAAGATGAGAACAGACATTTCATTACACATCAATCAATTGACGTATTTATCTATCAATTTAGAATTAATCATGAAGGTCCCGTTTGGTAACGTTTATGTTTTTCGTTTTTTGTTTTTATTTTGATACTTAGAGAAAACAAGAAAAAAAAACTCGTTTGATAACCGTTTTTAATTTATTTTTCTGTCATCGTTTTGTAAACGAGGGGCGACTTTTAAAAAGGAGTAAAAGACGTTTTTCGTTTTATGATTCTGTTTTTGTTTTTTAGAAAATCAAAANGGCCTGGGGTGTTATATGCAAATTTCAAAGATAGGGTTAATCGATGACAATTACTGTTCTAAGTAGAAATATTTTTATATGCATGTATTTCATAGCCCCAGAAAAGCAAATCTAGTGCTTAGTGGAAAACATTGAAATTGAATTTCATTTGGAAATCACAACTACTCTCATTTGGTTACAAATATAAGATTTTGACAAGGGAGATCAGAGCAAACAAGACTTGATCCTAGGTTTCACTCCTTCTCATGTAATATTGATTAAAACTAAATATGGGACTTGGGTATGCCCTTGCGCCGACAATATGTTGAACGATACCGTACAAACCTAACAGGCAACTACTGCCACCTATGCAACTTTATTCATATGACTGTGATGGATCTCCTACCTCAGCTGGAACATGTCTTTAAAACTTTAGAGTATTCATACCCCATATCTAGACCAAGTGATGGTGTGGAACTCCAACTTTTGTTGGCTTTAGACCTCACTCCAACAACTCAGTTGAGAGCTCTGTGTTTGTTTCATCAGAAGGGTCATCGATGATTGATAGGTCATTCTTCCCAATCAGTCTCTTGATCCCTCATTCCATTAATCCATTGTTACTAGTCAGACAAGAAATAGACTCCCCTTATTTTTGTCTTATTAGTACACATCTTTGGCAACGATGAAACTCGTTGAACTTGGGACTTGAGTTGAGTTTAGAAAGAAAGGTAGGCCCCTAGAAGGAAGATGGGTGGATTATACAGCTAAAGGCAAATCGAAGGGTGTCCTTTAGGTTTGGGTATGCAAGAGCCTCAACTGGGCCAACATTAGATCAAGAAATCATTTCGCTCCTTGTCCCCTAAAATGGGTGATATGTTCTCTTACAATTTTGCTCCAATCTAATCTAGTTGGGGAACGATCCTAGTTCACATTAGACAAGCGGACAACCCCAAAGTGTAAACATAACTATAGGTCAATAGTTACCTAAGGAAACATAGATTCAATTTGTATCTCGACTGGGAGGCATCTAGATCATCCTTACTTGAGATGCATAAGGGAGTCAATCTACAAGCTCGGACAAACGTGGTATTGCTACCCCTCTCTAAGAAGGTGAGACCATTAGCCCTATTGACGACTCCATCTAGAATAAAATAGGGACAATTGTTTTCAATTGGTCATTTCATATCTTGAAAAAAGTAGGTATGCCTTCAAGTAATAAGGGTTAGGCCAATGAGAGTTATGACATTGTCCAAGTGATTTAGGGCCTCCCCTTATCCTGAATGCGAGCATGATTCGAGCATGGTCAATAATACATTCAAAAAAATAATAACCAAGATGATTGTTAATAGTATTCCCTATCATTGCCTTGGACTAATAACATCCTACCATGGTAATGATGTGATCTACGTAATGTCTGACTCTGTTTGCGCGCTTCTCTCCCTTCGTCGAATCCATGGAAGGCTACTGGACATCAGGTTTGCTTAACCTACAAAGCTATCTTACTAACACAAAGGAGTTATTCGCTTACTGCACGAGGTAGCTAAAAAACCAGTGAAGCTTTTCTACTTGCATATCAATCCATTGAAAAAATCTCTTTTCACCTTTTCATAATGGTAAGGTAGATTTCAAAAAAAAAAAAAGATGGGCCATTTCTTTCCGCTGGGAAATCAACTCTAGGTTCACGTAAACATAAATAACTTTTCCTCCTGATCTACTTTAGGACCATCAAAGATCTATTCTCTAAGTTTTGAAATATTTGGCTTGAACGAACAATAAGATAAATTATTCATCTCCAAATGATAGTTGGGGTGGGGAATAAAATGAGTCTTCTAAAAAGTTTGGAGAGATCAGGAGATTCACTTCATACTCCTCTACCTGAACAATTCATCTTTGCAGGGTGGTCATATAGAAGATTTTGATGTCAGTGGTATTAGGGAAGTTTTGCAAAGCAGTCCAATCAGATGCTATGATAATTAAGTTATGTCTCTTTTTTCTTTCTTTTAAAAACTACAGTAACACAACCCTAACTAATTGTTTTTGACAGATAGGCAACATGCTACAGTGACATAGCACAACCTTTAATGAAATCAGTATTTCCATAAAGGTTGCATGCAGTGGCTAGGCAAGCTACTGGGAGTTTCTTCGCATATGAAGGCATAGGATTTTAAGCAGTTCAAAACAATACATGCTACTAGCCCATGATTATTCTATGCTACAACATTTTGCTCTAAATGCTTTTACATGAGCGGCCCATATTTTTTTGGATCAAACTAGGGTTTGGCCAAGTTTTAAATGCTCAAACCAAACTCATTAAAAACTTGGGCGTAAAGGGTGAACAAATGAGATTTAGGCCTCCTCAGCCCTTCATGGTCCCAGGATTGCTCCTGATTATATTATTCTGATGTTAGGCCATTCAACTAAAGTGAGTCATCCCACTTTGGCACAAGTTGATATACCCTAGATCACATAGAGCGGGCGCAGGAGAGCGATAGCCAAAGATTTCAAAAAAAGTTGAGAGCGAGAGTGCCACTGACGGTGTCAATGGCATCGTGATACACACGAAAAAAGGGGATGTCAAGGTGCTAAAAGTAAGAAAGAAAATTACTTATTAGAGATAAAGAAATAAGGAAAGCACAATGGGATTTTAGAGCAAAACAACTCATTCCATCGGTAGACTATCACCAAGTTAAATAGTTTCATTGCTATAAAAAGCACAGCCACCAGCCCACATTGATAAGCAATGAAAAATTTGAATGGTTTAACTGTTATAAATTCTTCAACTTATTGTTGTGGTGGAAAACAAGCAAAAGATTGGGCCCCAAATTTGGGGCCAAACCTAATTGAGCACCGAATAGTTTGGATTGGGCCTCAATCCAAATTAATATTTAGTCTAAAATGTTTTGTATTTGTGGAGTTAAATCCCAAATAGTGTAGTCCAAAGATTATGATTACAGAATTAGCAGATTCGTTAATTGAGTTCGTGGATTGGTGCCGAATTCTCTTTGAATTCGCGGATTGGCATTTGGAACGTGAGTCCGTTGGGGTTGATAGACGAATCATGTGATCTAGGATATACCCTATAAGTCTATAAAAAATTGAGAGATTTTTTTTTTTTTTTTTGGATCAAACTTGTGAGATGTTAATTTCTACTCTCACGGGTGGAGCTAGGATAGTTCCATAGTGGGGGCAAGCTAAAACTAATTAATAAACTATATAATGATTTAATTTTTTCACATAAAATATTAATCCTTAATACTTTTTAAAAGTACAATTTCATAAGTATAAGAAGTGATGCAAATCATGTGTACGTGAGTGATCTACAAAAATAAATTAGATTAAATTCAATCTATGACAAGTCTAGTAAACCCAACTTCGACAGAAAATTTAATCTATCACATGCAATATATTTAACTCCAATCACTTGAAAATTAAATCTAAATTATAATTCATAATAGGCAAATTGCAAGCAATTTAATCCAAAAAGTAATCCAAGCTAAAATTTGAAGTAATCAACCAAAACAATGAACCAACTGTGCCCAGTTTTAGGCATCTCACATAGCCGTGGTAATTGACTAACTCTGCTCATTTTGTCTCTTTCCATACCAAATCCTTGATCACTAAGTATTTGTTAAAAGGCCACTATGAACACAGTTATAGATTACTCCTGGTAGATTCATTTGTTTCCTCGTAGTTTCCACACACTTTTCCTCTATGGCGATAAAAAGTCTCAATAAATTATAAAACCCATGAAAAAGCAAGAAACCTTTAGTGGGCTATTGGGTGCCAAGTCCCATTCATTGAATTTACTTGATAATCGGACTGCAAGATTGGTCATAAAGAAGAGAAACAAGCACTATGGTGATGATGAAGTGGATATGGAATCATGTGTCATTCTCTTGGGAAGATTGCTTCAGTTGGCAACTGGAGAGAGTAAAGGAAGAAATGCAAAGGTGTCGTAACTTAACCAACGTAAACTTGACCCCTAATTTTCACAATCTTTCAGTGGGGTCAAGTTTTCAAACCTTCTAAACTATCCAAAAATATAACTAAGGTTCCAGAATTTTTTAAAATTGCAGTGGGGGCATCTGCCCCCAACTGTGGCTCTGCCACTGTCTACTCTTCTGAGTCAAAAAAAACTAAACTAGTGAAATGAACCAAAGCAAGCCAAACCAACTTAAGGCATGTTGCCTTGGTCAGTCCCAGTTTTAAGAAGCTCAAACCATTTTATGGTACTCATTTTTATATCTACCAATTTAAAGAAGGTGTAGCTGTTCAAAACCAATGGTAAAACAAGTCCATGCATAGAATGAAGACAAGAAACTCTATTCGTTATATAAACATGCTGCAACTGATAGACAACAACATAGATCCATGCAAGAATCTAACACAAGTGACAATAATCATATACAGGTGAAAGAAGGAGAATAAATCTAAAACAGCTGGGAAGACAGGGTTTCCCAATCCAGCTTTTCTTACAACAAGAGCTGATAAATTTCACTAATTTTGATGTACATTGTGACATAGACGTCATCAGTTCCATATAGACTGATAAAAGCCAAGAAAAAAATGCACACACCTCGGTAATTGTCAACCCTTTTGATCCTTCAGCATCAATCATATCATAAATTTGATATTCGATTGGAAGTTCTACAAGTTGTTCAGTGATTTGCCCTCTCTTTCCCATTTTCGCAAGTTGTTCTGTATCAAGATCATCATATCCGCATCCCGGAGTTTTTGGCTCAAAGCTTTTTGGAGAAAACTCCTTTAGCAGTCGCAAACAGCTGACCTCCTGCGAAAAGTGCAAAATCAAGTAACAAACTAAGCATGGCAAGACATAATCAAACTCAAAAGTAGAACCACCCAAATTGGCAGCAATAAAATCTTAAATTCCAAATATAATATCATAGAGATGGTATCAAAGTCAAAATTATAGCCATGGCAAGACATGATCAAGACTTACCCTTTTGTTCACCTTCGCATAAAACTCCTCAACCACACGAGCATCTTTCAACCTGTGACAGATCTAACAGCGCGATGTGCGGGGTAATTTGTTTGAAACAATAACAAGATCAACTTTTTTATAATTTTAAAAACTGAAAAAAATAAAATAAACATAACTTACATTTCTCCAGGCTCTATGCCCAGAAGTTCCTTTATAACCAAGGTCTCGCTTAATATCTGAGACAACAAGTACCTTCGAAGGGGGAAGATGTTATAAAATAAGATCAGCACAATGGTAATCGGAAGACACCAGATAGATTTACGGCCATAATAAGACTGACCTTGCCATCAGCTTTTTCAAGTTTATCACAGATAGCTTTCAAAGCCGGTAGATAATCTTTTACGTGCACATCCTCTTTGATACATTCTTCAGCAACACCATCAACACTCACAGCACTTCCTTCAGCATTGTCATTTTCCAATGTTTTGTCCTCTTTGGTTATTTCAAGCCTTTGTTGAGTACCCAAGTGCTTTGCATAACGGTACAAGTGGAGCATGTTGGTGGCCACAATTGAACTATTTTTTGGCTCCCTTTCATTGCAGGCTTCTTTTTTCTTCACAATTGTTGACTGCCGCACAATCAGCCCGCGGCATTCAAGATTCCTCAGTACATAAAAGATGTTGTTCCCTTTCATGCCAAATTCCTTAGCAAGTTCACTTTGGGTAATTCCATTTGTTCTGTGGATGCAAAAGGTGTTAGCGCCCTCTAAGGAAACCTAGCAATCTCAATTCCCAAAATCAATTCAACAATTCAGTCAAAACCATCCACAGACAAGCAATTGAAACCATTGCACTAGCGTGACTCCACAGCTACACAATCACTGATCAATCTAATTACCACATATATTCAAATTGCATAAATACTAACATACTGGACTGCGATCAAAACTATACTTCGTGCACAAACAAAAAACTGAAGCATCCAAAGCTAATCAAAGCCAACAAACGTATCATTTCACAAACTTTGTTCAGTTCATCAGTCCTACCTCTAACGCAAATTACTCAAAGCCCATTACAGATTTAGCATCAATAAACAATCAAGCGTAAACACACAGTGCCAAGCTTCATCGCACATCTACTTACTCAGTAAATCATAGTTTAATGCCCAGTTGCCGAGGTGCATTACGATTAATCAACGCCTAATTTGTGTGGGCGGGGCTGTATGCCTGAATGTACTTTTATACACATGCATGAATACACTCGCCAAAATATATGTTAGGGTTTGTAAGAGAGAGTAAGTTAATGCAGAGAGTGAGAATGATGCTAACCTAGCAATAGCTAGGCGTTCCAGCGCACGACGCTGGGGCTGAGATATACTGGCATCAGAGGCCTTGATATCGTAAATACCGACGAAGCTGTTACGAAGATGCTCGGCGGCGACAATCTTCAAATTCAGCTTCTCAGACTCTTCGATTGACTGAATTGAAGGGTCTTGATGGTTGAAAGAAACGCCTTGGGATCCAAATTGAAGGCCCGGAATGTTGAGGAGGTTGGTCCATAGCGCCTTTTTCACGTTGGGGCATAGATGGAGGCCCTGAGAGGAGAGTGGAGATTGAAGTTTAGGCCAGAGGATTGGAAGGGTGAGTCCATTAACGCCTTGTGAGCAGATCTCTTCGAGAGCTGCGTGGACGATGGAATCCATTGGGAAGAGATAGAAAAGAACATGAAACCGTTGGTGGCCGTTGGGGGGTGTGGCGGGTGAGAAAAAGGAGTGTCCTTCGTTTCGAAAACGGTGTGGTGCTACAGGCTTAACGGTAGCGGCAAGTTTGCGGGGTTTTGCAGAGGGCGTTGAGGTAGGTTTAGGGTTCGAATCGTCCCTCTCAGCTCAGGAGATGGAGACTTATATCCGTGAGGTCTAAGTAGACTAAATGGGTATTTGGTGACCCACTGGGTCCCGCATTTAATCGGTTAATTGCACCAACGATCACTAAAGTATAGAATTTGATTTATTTTTATCCTCAATATTTTAATTGTATTATTTTAGTCTCTAAAATATTACATATCTATAACTTACAATTCAAATTTCAAAAGATAAACAAAATGACTTTTGTTATTCGAAATTAAAATCGTTTTAAATTTTATTTTAAAATTAATCTAATGGCTAAAATTAACACCATAAATTTAATATGAAAAATAGTCTCATTAAGGTGTGTTTTGAGTAATTTTTTAAAAGTACTTCTAGAAATTATTTCTCATAAATACTTTAAAAACAAAAAATAGTGTTTGAAACCGCCTCACCACTATCTCTACCACCATTATCACCGTCATTACCGCCTCCGCTATCACTGTCATCGTCATCACCACCACTATCACCACCATCACCACCACTACCACCGCCGCCCCTACCACCATCGCCACCGCTGCCACCACAACGGTCATTGTCACCCACCACAAATATTACCATCTCTTACCACCACTATTGTCGTCTACCACCTCTCACTCCCATTACAAGCCGATACTTAAATTTTTTTATCTATTCTCTATATTTATGAGTTGATTTTGGATATGAATACGAATATATTTATTATTTATCATTTTTTATTACTTTGTGCTTTCAGGCACAGACAATAACTAGTGTTTTTATATAATAAAGTACAATACAATTCAAATCTCAAAAGATAAATAAAATGACTTTTGTTATTCGCGGTTGAAATCTTTTTAAATTTTATTTTAAAGTTAATCCGACGTCTAATATTAACACTCTAAATTTAATAAAAAAAATAAGGGCCTAAATGTGTGTTTTAGATGACTTTTTAAAAGTGTTTTAAATTCTTATAATTTCTCATCAATATTTAAAAAAAAAATTGTGTTTGAAATCACCACTGCCACCACCACCCTCCGCCACCACCGTCACCCCACTCCACCACCAAATTACCCCTATCAATATCACCACTACCACTACCAACTCCACCATTGCCACCCCACCCATTGTCTCACCACCACCATCACCACTACCGCCACCCCCCCGTCCTTTACCATCACCATCACTATCGTTACCATACCACCCCTTACAATCACCACCGTTGTCATCCCACCACAGTCACCCAACTATGACTATCCTCATTACACTGACCACAACCACCACGGTCGCCGCCGCCGCCACCATCTATGCCACAACAACACCACTGCCTATTATTACCACCGTCGTTATTACTATTGTCGTCACCCTACCAACACCGCCACTTTCCAACCATCACCCCTACCACCACTATACATATCGCCTCACCATCACCTCTCACAACCATCACTATTACCACCATCGCAATTGTTGTTACCATCTACCACAACCACTATCATTACTCATTATCACTTTTTCTTCTATATTTGTAAATTGATTTTAGATATAAATATAAATATATTTATTATTATGATTATTTTAATTATTCTATGCCTTAAAACACAGGCAATAACTAGTGTTTCTATATGATCCTTCAAGTAAACAATATCTAGATTGTTAATGATTTTTTATTATAAACTTGTCATATAATATTTAAATATAGATAAAAAATAATTTTGATAACTATTAAATAAAATTTGGATAGCTCTTGATAAAAAATTTGTAATATAAGTAGTTTTTGACCAAATTTTGGATAATTTATGATCAAAATTTTATAATTTTGATAGCTATTTAACCAAAATTTGAGTAAAAATTTGGTCAATAATTATCTAAATTATTATATTTTTTCATATTTAAGTATCACGTGACAAGTTTAAGATAAAAAATCATTAATAATCTAGATGTTACCTGCTTAAGGGATCATATAGAAACATATTCAATACTTCAGGAACAAAAATAATACAATTGAAATATTGATAATCAAAATTAGACAAACCTCATACTTAATGGACCTCTAGAGCAATTAACCATTTTTTTTTTATCATGGGCAGATATTGTTAAGTTCCTCAAAAAAATAAAAAATAAAAAGTTTTTGCCTTCAAGTGATGGGATTATTTTCATTCTTAAAATATTTATTTTCACATTTATTGAATTATCTAGCATCAAAATTGCCATTTTCATCTCAATTTATTCTCACTCAATTGTTTATTATGTTCCAAAATTTTCTCTTCATGCGTAATACATAAAGAAATTCTCAAAATGTTTAAATTTTGGATACAACAATTTAGCATCAAACTAAATTTCGAAGAAGNATAATACACAAAGAAATTCTCAAAATGTTTAAATTTTGGATACAACAATTTAGCATCAAACTAAATTTCGAAGAAGGGTAGAAGAGGGACATGAAAAGGATAAGTGATTCAGTGTTTTGTATTCATTCTCCACGTATGAACATGAATTAGTTTTTACTAAATCAATTTAATTCGGCTTCTTTCATAGCTAATAGTATTCACACGATGGATGTAGATTAGGGTAATTTTAGTTCATGATGAGACTAATATAGAATGAAAGAAAAAAAATAATAATTTTGGAATTATGGAGTTTAATAAGATGAGAACAGACATTTCATTACACATCAATCAATTGACGTATTTATCTATCAATTTAGAATTAATCATGAAGGTCCCGTTTGGTAACGTTTATGTTTTTCGTTTTTTGTTTTTATTTTGATACTTAGAGAAAACAAGAAAAAAAAACTCGTTTGATAACCGTTTTTAATTTATTTTTCTGTCATCGTTTTGTAAACGAGGGGCGACTTTTAAAAAGGAGTAAAAGACGTTTTTCGTTTTATGATTCTGTTTTTGTTTTTTAGNATTTATTTTTCTGTTATCGTTTTGTAAACGAGGGGCGACTTTTAAAAACGAGTAAAAGACGTTTTTCGTTTTATGATTCTGTTTTTGTTTTTTAGAAAATCAAAAATCGTAAACGTTACCAAACGAGTCCGAAATATTGATTTTGGTTAGTTTTCTCAATAAGAAAAAAAAGAAAAGAAAAGAAAAGAAAAGAGAAATGGGTTTATGTCAATCACAAAAACAAATAAATTAATTAGTTTCTGGGTTTATGTTAATGGGCAAGTTTTGAATAGAAAATAAATTAATATCTCTCAATCGAATCCAAACTACTTGCACTCAATTAAATATGTTTATTCTAAGATTTGTTATGATGCAATCAATCTCGATCCTAGTCCAAAGGTTCTCAAGTGTTGGAGCCACGATCTTAGCTAAGTACAATGTAGGGACTTTTTTTTTATTTTTTTTGGTCAACATAATGTAGGGATTTAAAAAAGAGTTGCAGAAGAGAGTAGGTTGATTTCAAGTCATTCATATTGAAAATATCATTTTTTGTATAGTTTAACCATAATCTCCATCTAATTTGGACCCCCGATTGAATGAATTGTCTTAAAAAATATTATTTGGTCTTAATTTAATAATTTAATTAATAAAAATAAATATTATTTAATATTATAATTAATAACTAATCTAATAATTATATTAAATTAAATATAACTAAAGTTTGAAATTAATTCCCTATAGTATTTGCTCTTTGTTAGTGGATTCCCATTTATAGTGACGACCTTGCTTGTGCCCCAAAATTATTGAATTGAACACGGATACTTAGGGCCGATAATTAAATTAAGTTATTCAAATTTAGTTGAGATTTGATTTGGATATGATTTGACTTGCGTACTAATTAAATTTAACTGGAACAATATTTTAAATTTATTTAAAAAAATGGATCTAAAAAAAGTTAGACTTGAGTACGGAAAGATTGATTATTGAACTATTCCGATTGAGTTGGTTTTGGAAGTGCTTATACTCCTGAGTCGTACACAAGAAAAACTTCATCCTAAAAAGCAATGACCAATGAATGAGCGGAGAATCCCGCAGGTGAAGTAAACGAGGAGAGAGAAATATCTTGCATATAGAGAAACACAAACACACACAATACAGGGTCCTCCATGTGTACTGTCAAATCTCTCTCTCTCTCTCCCCTATATCTCTGATTCTCTCCGTTCATGATTTCTGGGCCTCTGTTCTATCTCAGCACGGATATTTGATTCCACTGCCGACTTCTTGAAAAGAAATGCTCCAGAATTTTAAGGTAAGGCAAAAGAAAATGTTGAGAATTCGTAAGATTCATTTTCTAATATTCTTACCGTTTGTGTTGATTGGTATACTTTGTTTTCTCTTTTGAAATTCTTGTATTTGTGAATTCTTAGGCTTATTTTTTTCTTTGGCTTTCTTGTCTGCATGTTATTTTTTGTGTTCTCTGAAATCCAACACTTTTGTTTCTTCATAATACTTTTTCAAACACCACTTGCTTTCGCTTTTCCACTTTAAGGATTAGATCTCTCTCTCTGTCTCTCTAAATCCCTATTTCTCCACTGTTCAATACTCAGAGAAAACCGTTATCATCTGGGTACAATTCAGTTCTTTTCTGCGACGTCAATATCAAATCCATTCTTATTATTTTAGATTTTTGTGGGTTTGGTCTTTGACCCGTTTGTCATGTTTTTGATTGTTTCTTCTGATAGAACTCTTCTCATGGGTACTCTGGGGAATGACTGGTAATTGGCTGTCTCTGAGTTTTGATATTCAACATTGAAAATCAGAACCCTGTGTTAGTTTTGGGAGAACACAAAAACAAAAATGTTCCTTTTATGGTAAAAGAAGTCAGCTTTTTGTGTCACTGAGTAGGTGTGTTGTCTTTGTTCTTCATATACTCTGTACATTAACCTGGAAGCTATGATTTGTTCTTGCCTGCTATGCTGCATTTGATTTTTTTTTTTTGTGGGTTTTCAAAAATAAGGTAATGGGTATCCTCTAGAATTCAAAATTTGGGCATTATTTTCATTTGTCATTTTCTTATGTATTTTTTTAATATTTTTGGTCTAAGATTTTAGGTTTTCGAATTGTGATGCAGAATTGGAGGTGGATTTGATTGAATTGAAGTCATAAAAGAAATGGAAGGTGAGATATTTTCAGGCATGAGTAATGGAACACAAGTAGACAGCAAAGTTTTGCAGACATTTCAGAAGAGCTTTGGGCAAGTCCAAAACATTTTGGACCAGAACAGATTGTTAATTAATGAGATCAATCAGAATCACGAGTCCAAAATTCCAGACAATTTGACCCGAAATGTAGGTCTAATTAGAGAGCTCAACAACAACATTAGAAGGGTGGTTGATGTCTATTCAGATCTGTCAAGCTCTTTTGCCAGATCAATGGAAGCTTCATCAGAAGGGGAATCAGCTGGGACTGCTAAGTCTGATGGTAAAGGTAGTCAGAAGAAAACTCGGTCCAATTAATCGATCATGTGAACTCTTTGATAAATGCTGCACTCTCTCTATGGAGAAACAATAGATTTTCAATGTTTGAGTTGGTAAAAATTCACCAAAAAATGTAAACTTTTTGAAGTGTTAGTGATCATTTTGCCTTAGCTTCTTCATTTTTATTCTCACCATTTTCTCTAGAAATACTAGTTTGATTCATCTACCATTGTGATACTGTGTAACTGCTCATGTCATCAAATCAAGCATGCCACTGTTGTCAAAATCTGCACTTTGGATATCTTTGGCAAACCTTGTAATTATGAAGGTTGAAATTTTGGCAACTGTGTTCCCCTCACTGCATTATATTTTGGTTTTTCTTACCTACTACTAAATCTGGTCTTTTCGGATACTTTGCGTGATCATTAATTTTCCTTTGATAATCCCAAGTTTGATTCATAATGCTCATGATCTAATCCTTTCAGTTTGTCAAAAAGGTTTTGATATGGTTTGGATCTTTGAAAGTTGTCTTGCATCATCCTTCTCTCATGACTTTTCTTTCTCTACTTTTGATGGGAACTTTCAACTGCCCCACCTTTATTCGTTTCCCATGCTTGTCCAAATATATTCCTTCCACTGTCTGCATACATTATTTGAGGCCATGGTTGGTATATGCTTCTTTTTGAGTCAAAATTTCCAAACAGCAACTCATCTATATTGTACAGCTTATGATTCTCTCAGCGTTCTCTTTTTGGGGAGGAGGGTACATGCATTTGGGTACTGGCCTTGAACCCTTCTTGTTAAGTCTCAGATATGTGGAATTACCCGTTAATTAAGCATTGAATCCTATAAAACAAGCCTTCAATATCTGCGAGATGGCTGAGCTATACGTGCGGGTTTGGTATTGGCCTTAACTTTGCTGGGTATTAGGGTAGAAATGATTTGGGAGGGCAACTGAAAGCAGATATGGATAATACCCACCATTAGACTGGAATCTCTTGTAGTGGATGATTAGCCTTTGACCCCTGTTTTGTCCCAACTAATGGTGATCTAATGATTGTTATTTTGTAGACATAGGACAATTATAAAAAAAACATTAAGAAACCTAGTTTGGATGGATTAAGAGAAAGCTGAAGTATTTTAAGGCGCAGAAAGATTGTCAAACAAGGCACAGGGCCCCAGTTCTTTGGAGATATGTGTGAACGGAATTTTAAGTCGACTATTTATCTAGGTGGGGTCTTTCTCCCCACAATTTTCTTCTTTCCCTTTCTGTCTCTGTAGATTAATGACTATCCTTTCACATTGCATTATGATGGTTCTGGCTCAGCCACATCTCTCTCAGACACACATTTTGATTAAACAAGTGCTTCTCTTGTTGGACCCAGAAGCATTGGACCATTTTCTTGGAGTGTTCTTTCTTGGAACGATTGGTTAATATTCTGGAGATGGTTGGGAGAGACCCATGCCCTATGGGTATGATTGCTGTAATTAGCTGGTTTTTTTTTTCCTCTCAGATATTGAAGGCCGGTCGATATCAAAGCATTGGTCATATTCATATACCTATNTTGGGAGAGACCCATGCCCTATGGGTATGATTGCTGTAATTAGCTGGTTTTTTTTTTCTCTCAGATATTGAAGGCCGGTCGATATCAAAGCATTGGTCATATTCATATACCTATGATTAAATGGAGTCATGCAGATCAAATGACAGAAGGCTTTTTTTAGTGCAGACTATGACCTGGTTGGTACCTTGCTCAACAACATGCTGTTTGGACATGCCCACTTTGACCAATGAAACAATCTAAACATGTAAAATTTGTGGGACAATGTTTTTTTGCTAATTAATTAATATCCTCCTTGAACTCGGAGTATAAGACTATTTCATCATTCAGTTAAAATAAAATAAAATGGTAATTGGACAGAAACCAGATTATTCAGTTTGTCGTTGAATATTATGGGAATGTACATGCCAAACATCAGTGTCGGAGGGAATTAATTCAGTAAATACGACGCTGATAAAGATGTCGTGTGCTGGTGATATTTTCCATGGNTGAATATTATGGGAATGTACATGCCAAACATCAGTGTCGGAGGGAAATAATTCAGTAAATACGACGCTGATAAAGATGTCGTGTGCTGGTGATATTTTCCATGGATCAAGTGATAGTCAATGTGGTTCATAACTGATCATTTTATATCAGATTGTACTTGTGGATGTTGCCAATTCAAAATATAAAGAGTCCAAAGGGTTTAAATTTGATTGCAAAAATACCAATTCAAATTCTGTACACTTACCAATAAAAAATTTGGCAACAATGAGAAGTAAGGAACCATTTGTATCTCTCATTCGTGTTCGTTCACAGATGCTACTACTCTCCTTTCTCCATCAATTTTGCAATGCACTCCTTCCAATCCACAACATTCTCTTCACCATTAGCCACCTGTTGTCAGACAAAGCAGAAAACAGTGATTAATCATATGCCATGAGTCTTGAAGGGCAATAAAAACAGAACAGCATCGGCAACCTACATTAACTAGGAGAAATTTTAGATGCTTTCAGGGAAAAGAAATTGCATTGCCTCTTTCGCATAGGATACCTTAAGTATGTAGTCTATGTTTTTTTTTTCTCAAATTACAATGACTTCAATTCAGTGCGATGAATCCGTTTCGGTTTGCATTTCACCAATCCTACTGATGCATTGGCCATAAAAATCATGGAAAAGTATTACCCGTATAAATGTGATCCACACACACCCAACACACCATTGGGAACAAGGAACTAAACACGGTCCATTTCGTCCACAATCCATACAGCAATGCAAGATGGTTGATAGAGGTGTCCCTCCTTCAGCAAGTGTCAGTTGGCCAATAATAGCTTCGGCATTATATTGGCATACTGCACTCTGCGACCCTATTGGTATTTCATTCTATCTAAACCTCCACCCCTAGCTCCTATCAAAGCCAGAAAAGGAACAGTCGCATTCACATTTCATGCAAAAAGGGAAGTGCATCACAGTAATTAACCTCAAATATAATTCCCCTTTGTGGGACTGCATCGAGGGCTTCCACACATATGAACGCTGCATCCTCCTTGCTGAGACTTCCCTGGGATGCACTACCCTGACATAGTGTCATGGGAAAAGTTAGACTAATTTTAAGTACTCAAGTCTACAAAGATACAAACAGGCTTAACGCAGCGCATTGCGTGCATCAAAACCTTCAACTAAATTGACTTAGCAACCAGGAAAAATAAAAAATAAACACAGAGGGGGAGAGAGAAATCATAACCAGCAAACAACTTCAAAAGTGTGTGTTTGAAAGAAAGGCATGTGTTCTCCCCTGGCAGATATTATATTCCTTAATTCTATTCATGCACTGGATCTTCTGTCTCTTTTAGGATTTAGAATGATTAGATTTGGCTCCCTGTTATAGATGAGAGATTCGGATTTTACAGAACTATATCTGGTGATGATTCCATTGATTGACACCCATTTTAACAAGCATTAAGTGTGAACAGCAGCAACACGAAAAAAAAAAATGGATCACTATCATGTGGTTTCAGTGATCCACTATTTATGAACAGCAGCCCAATTGGTTAGAGACATTACAATAAACAATATATACAAAAATACGCTTTCCTTAATTCTTTTAGAAATGACCCCTAACAGAAGTGGATATAGCCTGCGGTTNAAGCCCCTGATCCACTATTTATGAACAGCAGCCCAATTGGTTAGAGACATTACAATAAACAATATATACAAAAATATGCTTTCCTTAATTCTTTTAGAAATGACCCCTAACAGAAGTGGATATAGCCTGCGGTTTATAATCATATGTAAGAAGTTGAATTATGCTCCAGAGCTGTGGAAGAATATAGACAATTCCTTTTGATTTGTTTTCACTTGTCTTCCTAGTAATAAGAGCAAAAGGCACCAAAAATTTGTTTTAGTTTTCTAAAAAGTTGATTATGTACAGTACAACTGAAAATACTTATTTTTACATCAGTCAGCGGAAGAATAAAAACACAAAACAATGAACAATACCTCCTCAAAGCTGAAACCTTGCTTCCCACCGGGAGTATTCCTCAACAACCCAGCTCTGACGATGGTGTAAGGGATTTTTGAGGCCATTACCACAGTTTCATCTTGCTCAGCCAGTTTTCTTGCAGTGCTATTAATCATAGCTTGAAGCCCACTGGTACCTCTATAAGCAGACAACTGCAACCTTTTCAAACCATATATCAAACAAACACAATTTATGTTGCAGGTGCTTACACATGCACGAGAGAAGGCAGTAGTACCTGAGATAGTAGAACCACATGTTGCACCCCCTTCAAGCTCTCAACACTAGATAGGAAGCCTTCCTGCAGAAAGCATCATCATCAATTAATGGCCAAGAACTTTTGGCAAGAGCACCCACATAATATATTCACAAGGGTAGAAGAGAAGCATTCTAGTTTTCTTTCTTAAAAACCCAAAAAGCCCTTTGCCACTGGTAAATTGTTCCACAAATGTGTAATGACAGGTAAAAAGAACCATGTAATAGCAAGATTGAATCCAGTCCACGGAAGGATAAGGGGGAGAATATAAGGGAAATCACAAAACTTCATATGAGCTACAATTTAGTGCACTAGTCCATCTATCTATGTAAATGTATTGCAATCATTGAAAACACAAGGATAAAAATAGTAATAGAGATGGGTCTCAGGCATGCATACATTTGGGCATATTACTGCACGAACACCTCTTAGAGCCTTCTTCAGAAATGACCCATCCTTTACATCTCCAACCACTGACTTCAAATACAACACCAAAACCATGCAAGAGTCAACATAAGATAATAGAGATATAGTTAACACCAAAGCTATCTAAAATGTCAAAGTGATCTTCATAACATCAATTCATCCACCTCAACATAAGTACCAAAGGCTTCCATTGCTGCTCGCTTATCCCTTACCAGTGCTTTAACCCGGATTCGTTTGACAATTAATGATAATATTACCATCTGCACAAGATAAAAATCCCAAAAACTTATTTATTTACCTAAGGCATCTTTGTTAACATAGTATTGCAAAAAACTGCTCAACCGTACGTAAACTCGAACATTAGGCATTTATCTTGAACCTGAGATATAATATATTGGTCCCATTCCCATTTTAGTTTCTTTCCTCAATCGTGAAGAATGGGAAGGGGTTCAAAGCATGTTTTGTGATCATGCCATGCATATGGTACAATTAACACATTGATTAAGTAGAAAATGGAGAGTTCTCATTTTTGCCAGAAATAGTCTTAGCGGAGAAATTGAAGTCCATGGTATCACACACCTGACCAATCTCATTATCTCCGTCGGTTACTAGAACTGCATCCCTAACTTCATCTTCTTCTGTGTCTCAAAAGCAGACCCAATTATCTAGGCAGAACTAAAAGATATATGAACAAAATAGAATCTCCACATCGGACTACCTGGAGATGCATCATCTTCTGAGATAGATCCATCTTTTGGAAGGATATCTGGTGCCCCATACCATTTCCTTAACTTTGGACCCCCTACAATGAACCAAAAAGCAAAAACACAAGGTCAACAATGCAATAGGCTTGCTTGCTGAATTGATTGGAAGGAGTGAGGCGTAATAGATTTGCTCCTTTGATGCTTTTCATCAGTTTTGGGCTTTTAGCATGTAATAAAGTTTTCATCACTTGCATCAAGTCATAATTTTGGTAAGCAAAAGGCTGGGTATTGTGCTTAGCAACTTGAACAAGAAAAGCGATGAGGAGGATATAGCCATCAAAGAAAGTGCAAAGAGCCTGAAATACCATTTTGATTGTTACATTGATATATTAGGAACCTACAGAGGCATCGGCATCTCAACACTCTTCCTTTAAGTCAACCCTCATATCCCTGGGAGTCTGTGACACATACATNCGCAAAGAGCCTGAAATACCATTTTGATTGTTACATTGATATATTAGGAACCTACAGAGGCATCGGCATATCAACACTCTTCCTTTAAGTCAACCCTCATATCCCTGGGAGTCTGTGACACATACATCATATATCAAGTTACTGACTACTACATTGCACCACACTTCCTAATCATGCTGCCAATAGCCCTCTATTGGTGCTATGATGCTACATCTAGCTTCTCATGAATGCCTTAATCCAGTCATTCCTTGTGTTGCTGCAAATCCTCGTCTTATTTTCCCTCTGGATGAGACATGCTGACCATAGTTTTCAATAACAACAACACACATACATGTGGTGAGAGGGAGGGTAGGATACCTGAGCTTGCAACTAATCATAAGTCAAAATGATGCAAGAACCAGCAGAACATCCCCTTGTCTTCCTTATTTTGTTGCCTTCATTCTACCAATCTATCTTCCCCTCAACTGTATTGGAAATTGTGCCATATAGCAGGGAGAGTTGTATCAACATTTTTTAAAACCCTCCAATTTTTTATGGGGTTTGACTTATATAGCACTCAAGTGGCACTCCTGGATTCACACTCCCAACATTAATCCTGTTTGCAACATTATAATTACAGTATTCCTTACAGACGATCAAACACTGCCCAGCAAGAAATCAAAAATAAAGAAGAAATGAACAAGCCATCATTCTGGGAATACCACACCATCTATTATTAGCACTCAACCGCACTATGAATTTTCCACCCCACATCCCCACCGGGCGGCTGAGGTTATGCAAATTTCTGCCTCACAAATGGTACTTTAAGCCACTTAGGAGGAACAGCCCGAATGGTGTGCTTATAGGGAGGATAAGTATGGTTTTTCTTTTGACCTTATTAGGTTTACCTCCAAACGGAAAAGCTCCTAATGCAAGGAGGCCTACACCTCGGGCAAGGGCGGTCTATGATCAGGTTAGCAATGACCGGATGGAGCAATCCATGTTGCAATTGCAAATGATAACCTTTTCCATAATACAGCTAATTTGTCGTACAATGGGTAGAACTTGAAGATCTCATAATCATTTTACATCAGCTGACAACTATTAGATCCAATGCCACACAATAAAATCACAGGGCATTAAGTTTTTTTAACTAAAATCATGTGGTCAGAGACAGGCATGAGCTTCTTAGACCGTAATGAACACAGCATAGTCATACCCAACACCAAATCAGAGTAGAAGAAAGCAACTAATGAACATAATAATAAAAAAATTACCTTCAATATAATCGAGAATTTGGTCCATGAAGTTGAGCTTTTTATTGGATGAAAAACATGAGACATAACGCTTTTCAGCATCTGAAAAGAGGAGAGAGACGTTTTTCCCAGTCCTAAAACTCGATTTCTGAGAACAAGAGAAGGAAGAAGGGGAAGTGGAAGGAAGACAACTCGCCATTGACTCAGTTGGACTATTCTTAACAACCACTGGTTAGTTGCTGCTATTATCTCTCTCCTCTACCCAACCGTCTCTTCGCTCTTTGAGCCGCGGAAGATGATTGGAGTAATTGGCGGCAACTTTCCTTAAATGCCCCTGAATCGATTTTATGCATATGGTGTCATTTTATTCCTTAAACTTATTATTGTGGTTTAACAAAACATAAAAGTTTAAATTAATTAACAAAAATGTTCATATGATCATTCTAAGCTAAAAAACGCACCTTTTTTTTTTTTTTTGGTGAAAGAGGATTAGACAAAAAAAATCAAAAATTATTTTGGGTGGGCTTACAACATTTAAGCACTTTTTTAATCAATAACCTAAAAAATTTCACATAAAAGCTCCCGTAAAATTGTATTACGTTTTTTTTTTGGATCAATAAAAAATTTAGGTAAAAATCATAATTAGTCCTTGAATTTTGTTTTTGGTCTCTAAATTGTTAATTATCTCAATTTAGTCCTTCAATTATACATTTTGTTTCAATTAAATCATTTCATTTATTTTTATTGTTAGCTCGAATGTAGATTAATCTTATCTAATCAATTTCTATCGTTAGATCATATGTTTTCATTTGTTCGAACAGTGAAAATTGATGAAAGGATAACTGAGACGACTAAATAGAGATAATTGAAAATTTAGAGACTAAATTAAAATCAAAGTTAAAGTTTAGGAATTATTTATAAAATTTACTCAAAAATCGATTTATAATTTACCAAAAAAAAATTTATTACGTCAAAAAATAATATGTTTTTGTCGATCAAGTCGGGTTCTCTTATCGCGTGACCCGCATTAGGCGCATCTTAGAAAAAGGGCTTGCAACATCTCAGCCGTCGAAACCCAATCCAAAACCCTAGTTTATCACGTCCATATATACTCTACCAACACTCATTTGGCAACCTGTGCTATTTCCTAGGGTTTTTTCGCTGAGCCACGGCGAATAACAGGACTTGATAGGTCTCCCGATTCACTGAGAATGGCGACTCAAATGAGCAAAAAGAAAAAGGTGCTCTCTCTCGCTATAGCCTCTTTAATTTTGTTATTTGTTTTAGTTGGATCTCATAGGGACCTTTGATTTTGTTTCTCGCCGATTCAGTTTGTTGCTGATGGAGTGTTCTTTGCGGAACTTAACGAAGTCCTGACTAGAGAGCTCGCGGAGGACGGTTATTCCGGCGTCGAAGTTAGGGTTACACCAATGAGAACTGAGATTATCATAAGGGCAACGCGCACTCAAAACGTTCTCGGTGAATGAACCCATCCCTATTGATGTTGTGTATCGGTAATTGTTTTAAATTTGTATATAGGTGTATAACATGTTTATTGTCAGATGCAAACGGAATTAATGGGACTGCAAATATCTCCGAGAGAGTAGATATGTTCTGTTTGGCTGATCAGAAACTTGAGGGGACGAAAATAAAGTTTTTTTTTTGTCTGGAGCTTACTGATTACGTGCTTAGCGCTCTGTTTCTATCGTACAACGTTTATGTGATAAGAACTTTAAGTGCAGTAGAAATTATGTGTCTTGAAATTTTATTGGGCTTCGCAATGAGAATGAAAATTAGGATAATCTGTTTTTGAAGTATCTGTCTTGCAGGAATTAAAAAATATTTTTTTTGATTGTTTCCATGAAGACTCCATTTTGTTGCAAAGGACAGTTAAAGTTGTGAGGAAACGTCTTTTCGAGGAACTATCAATACAGATAATTGAATATAGCATTAAATGGAATTTACTCTCAAAATTTCCACACATCATTATCAGTTGATTGACATGGAACCAAAATAGATTTTGAAAGTAAAACCTTAATTGTTTTGCTTCATCTTCAGCTTACACATGTGCATGTTCTGGATTTTATGGGTTATCAAATAGTAAAATAGAGATGTTTGTTTCTGTTTTAAATTTTCTTTTCACTTTTGATACGTTTTTGGAGTTACCAAACAACATTCATGATGGTGGAGTACTGATTTACTCAGTTTATTTAGGTGCTTGGATTAACAAACTAGTACATGTGCTGTTGTGTTTTTGATGAGATGCATGTGCAGTATAGGCAGTGTACTTACGCATTTTTGTTGATTTGTTTAGGTGAGAAGGGAAGAAGAATTAGGGAGCTGACATCTGTTGTTCAGAAACGGTTCAAGTTTCCTGAGAACAGTGTGGAGCTGTATGCCGAGAGAGTTAACAACAGGGGACTATGTGCTATTGCTCAAGCTGAGTCTTTGCGTTACAAACTCCTGGGAGGGCTTGCTGTCCGCAGGTTTGCATTCTATAGTTTCACCTTTATTTCTTCTGGATCATTGTATTATGCTTATAATGTTATGCATGTATTATATCAGTGTCATTCTTTTACTGTATCATTGCATTGTATATTCTGTTTTTGACATGGATTTTAGAAATGGAGGTAATAGAGATTCCTGTCTAATTCTTGAACCCCTATGCATAATATGATCTCGAGCGCCTTATCTCTCTGTCTGGAGATAGGCCAAATCCTGTTCTTTATAATGAGTAGATTCTTAGTGCTTTAATTAAAAATTTGGAGATATGACTGAGAACATGGGAATATACCTTCAAGCAAGTCTTGCGATGACATCCCTTGGGAACCGTAATGTGCAGTGGTTGGGACCGACATTTTAGAGATAGCAGTGATTCTATCTCTCCCTTTCAAATTTAATGTGGGTTATTGAGATTCCTTATCACTGCTTATATTGAACGTTGGAGTTTGTCAGGCTCCTTGAACCACTTTACGTTGATGGAGTTTGGAAAATACTCCTAAATTTTTTCAAATGCATATTAAAAATTTAACCTAGCTATTGTACACAGACTTGCAAATGATGTGAAAATGAAAGAGTTNAGGCTCCTTGAACCACTTTACGTTGATGGAGTTTGGAAAATACTCCTAAATTTTTTCAAATGCATATTCAAAATTTAACCTAGCTATTGTACACAGACTTGCAAATGATGTGAAAATGAAAGAGTTAAAAGCTGCAGTGAAGTGAAATTTATGAATTTCTATTGTTGTAAACAGAGTACTGAATAGTAGTCATGCTTTGAGAAAGATATGAACTGTAATGCATTTGCACTAGAATGTGCTGCTCTCATGGATGGATTCCTTGTTAAAGTTTGTTGATCAACAGCGAATGACCTGATAACAGCGGAGAAAGTGATATTTTATTGAAGTTTGATTAGACTTTATCCTGACGTTATATGCCCCATTAGTTTCCAGTTTTTTCTTCCATCTCTTTTGAGATGGCACATGGTTCTTGGCATTTTATGCTGGCTGGATAATTGCTTGAGAATGAGAATGTTTTGGAAGGTTGTGGTGCATTGTCTTCTATAGGGCATGTTCTGAGCCACAAACAGTGTGGGCGAAAGCTCATTTGAAAACTGGAAAAATCTGATGATGATGGTTTCTGGATTTGCTGTTCATCAACCACTTCCTTCTGCTTTCTTTTTATTTAGGCATTTAGCCCCATGATAACACTTTATATGCATCAAGACTCCACATTTGATAATATTCTGAGTAGTAGTATTCTATATGATGTTCTGTTGTAGATATAACAATTGGTTTGAGGTTTTTAACTATTATTAGCTTACCTATCTGATATCCTGTTTTCCTCCTTTTTAGGGCCTGCTACGGTGTCCTTCGGTTTGTTATGGAGAGTGGTGCCAAGGGGTGTGAGGTATGTGGAAGAATATTTTGCTACCCTTGGCATTGGTGTTTTATAATATTTCCATTTATATTCTGTCACCATATGCAGGTCATAGTTAGTGGAAAGCTCAGGGCTCAGCGTGCAAAGTCGATGAAGTTTAAGGATGGATACATGATATCCTCTGGTCAGCCTGTTAATGAATATATTGACTCTGCTGTGAGGCATGTTCTTCTTAGACAGGTTAGTTATATTGCAAATTTGTGCTGATCAGCATAGGTTGGGGAAAACGCCCTTTATTTTTTTCCGGAAGGTTTATGAAGATGGTATGGGGGGAACATCTTTGTTGGTTGTTAAAGAAGCATTTATTCTTTTTCCCCCATATTATTTGTAAAGTCCGTAATACTGCAAGACTTGTACATAAGATGGACTTTAAAGGAAATTTCCTTGCTAGCAAGTCTGGTTGCTAGTATCTTGTCACTGATGTCTGTGTATATTTGAAACAATGCAGGGTGTTATTGGTATAAAAGTTAAGATCATGCTTGGCTGGGATCCCAAGGGCAAACAGGGCCCTATGACACCACTACCTGATCTGGTTACAATCCACATGCCTAAGGAGGAGGAGGAATTCAAGGTGGTACCACAGCTACAGGCAGCAACCGACGTAGAGGTTCCAGAAGTTTAATATACTGACCGGAACAAGATCCAGCATTTGTAGATGCTATGACTGGAAATCAATATTAAGCATCAGGATATGAGCTTTTGCGGAATTTTTTTTAGGTCCTGGTTTTGAGAGTGGCTTGAGGCTTTGTATCACTGTTTTGCTGTGCTTTATTTTGCTGCAAGTTCATCCGATACGATAATCATACATGATGATGCAGCTGTTTGAATTTTGATTTTCGCCATATATTCAATAAGCTTGTTTTGACCAGTGGCTTCTGGGTTGAGTCCAATGATAAATTTAGAGGGCCTCACACTGCAGGTGTTTGTAGTGGCTAAATTGCATCTGGTGTCTCGTTGGGGAGGTTTTGATGCTCAATCCCTTCTACTGACCTTAATGGCATTTGGCTTGAAAATTGTAAAAATTTGGCTATGGCTGATGTGTTAATCGAATTGTCCCTAAACTAACGATGGTACTGGGAATCATGGGTATAGAGTTAGGGTCCAATATTGTACTTTAATTTTTACCGGAAAGAATAGAACAGTTGTAACTTGTATAGTATGGGGTCCATTACACAAAACTTCAACCTATTTTTGAAATGTACATAATTTTTAGAAGTCTATAGATTTTGGCTAGTAAACATGACTAATTGTTGAATTACATTATCAAACAAGGCCAAGGCCCAAGACCCAACATTGATAGCTCAAGATGCGTTGCAGCCACTGTTCGGGCAGGGTCCATAAAAAAAAGCCCACCTGCGTGAGAAAACTATCCGGACTGGATGCTAACCTTTCAAATTCAGTTTATATTGAATCTGGAATCCGGAACTGTACCGATGGTGAACACTGTCCGCGTAGTAGAAAAGCGTGAGTAAGTGAACTGAAACACAAGAAAACTCGATAATTCTCTGGAATTTCCCTCTCCCTCCTCCAACTTCTCTCACTAAATCCTCTGATAAATGATTTGAAAACTCATCGGTGTTTGATGCTTCAAATTCTTCCGAAGCGCTTCAAGACGTCGCTTTCAATTGAGTTATCTGCTTTTTTTTTTTTTTTTTAAAATCTGAAATTAGTTTCACCTTCGTCGTTTTTCTATCGGGCGAATCTCCGGCAGCAACAGTAGCAGTTTGATAGGCCAATTAGTTACTGAGCCTATGGTGAGTTCAATTTGTGAGCAAACTTCGGTGATAAGTTGTATACACACATGTAATCGCTTATGCACATTTTTTTCTGGGTATATTTGTGAATTTGACAGTGTTCTATTACTGATAACTTGAATTAATTCATAGTGCTTTGGTTTTCGTTATACTTCTCAATTTGGTTGGTGAGGATGAATTAGGGTTCTGGTCATTAATCTCTGGTATGCATGTATGAAGCAATGAATCAATTGAATATATAAGAAAGATTGAATGAATTCACTTTTTTGGAAATTTTCTCTTTCTTTTTTTTCAGTTAGTGTATTTGAGTTGCATGTGCTGGATTTTCCATGGAAACTACGGTTGGAATCGAGGGAAAGGACGAAGCCAAATTTGAGGAAAGTGTCGTGAAAACTAGCTCTGCTCCGTCTTCCTCGCCGAAGCATATTGCTGATCCGGTTGTGTACAAGCTCGTTCGGGTATATTTATACATATATATATATATATTTATCTAAGTTCATTCTTGTGAAAATAACAATTTAGTTCTTTTAAGTAAAAAAATTGTCTTATTGAAAGCTTTGCCAGATTTGGATTTGTAGAAATAACCACAGAGGACAAATTAATGCTGCTATGTTCAGCCGTTCACATTTAAGCTTAGCTATTCGGGTAGAAAAAGGTTTGGGGAATTTTTTCTGGGATGTAGATTTGTACCTAGTTACTAAGTGGGACTGTCAAAAGCTATAATTTTTCATTTTCTTTGACACCCAAACTTTGCATGCCCATACAACATGCTTGGGCTCGTGCAGTTTGACAAGAGTATCGTTGGGTAGAAACAGTGTAAAGCTATATATAAAAGCTTTTGCTGTGAACCATAATAAATTAAAGGAAAACTCATGCATTCATATGGATAATTGTATATATATATATCTCTACACCTTTGAGCTTTTTTCTTGAACGATGCATGTTTTGGATCATTAAGGTTGGGTAACAGCTTTTCCAGTTATAGGAGAATTGTGGCTAATTGTAGCTAATAAATACGTAGGGCAAATTAATGCTGTCGTTTCAACATTTTCGGTAATTAGCTTTTCAAACAAAAAAAAAATTGTTGTCTAGGACATTGTTGTGTTACAAAGTTAAGACTTAAGAACTTAGTGAATGGGTTTTTGCCTGGACTTTATACAGGATGAAGGTATTTTTTTATGAATACCACGTTGTCTGTCTGTGTGATTGCTTTGGGAGTGATAGTGGACTCCTATCCATGTCATACCGAGCGGATTAGATGTTGGAGTTTCAATCTTGCTTGCATTCATTTTGCGCTGGGTTGGAGGGTTGGGACAGTGATGAGTTCTTTGATTAAGATGGAGATCAAACTTGCAGGAAGGACTTTAAATGCAGTTCCATGGTGAAAAATTGGAGACTTCTTTAGGTTGTCTGGTCCTGTGGTTTGTTATATTATACCTTGTAAGTGTATTAAGTTGTTAGTCTTTTATGGGGATCTGTGAAACTCTTATCAGATTTAGAATAGATCTGAGTGTTTGAGGAGGACTGGTACATGTAACAATGTGAATGGGCCAATGGTTCTGCTAGTCTTTGTTGAAACCAGATTGCAGGGAGAGCTCTCTATATTCCTTTTAAGTAGGTTCTTCAGTATATCCTGTAAATGTTTGATGTGATGCATTCAGTATTGCTTGGCATACATGGATTTGGTTATGACACGAGTTATTGTTTCATATTTTTGGTTATCCCAAATCGTGTTGATTTCTTCTTCTAAGCATTTCTAAAATTAATGAATATTGCACTCTTCTTTGGTGGAGTTATCGGTCTTTGTTGCCTATGCCTAAACCTTTTTGGTTAGTTTTATCTCATTCTCTCCATTCGGTGTGTTCTCCTAAATGAAGAAATAATTTGCTGTTTATTGTATTTTGTTGCATTTTTCTGGGCCATTGTTTATGAAGCAGTGTAACTGAGCTCTGTATTGTAACTTAAATGTCCATAGGATTAAATTGTGCTAAAGAATGTGGTGTTTTAGTTAGTATATTCTGAAAGAAATTTGTTTATTCTTTCTGAATCGCTCTTGAAGGTCCTTTCTTCTTTTTAGTGGCAATTTTGAGATTGTGATTTGATACACACTGTTTAGGTTCAAGGCAATGGTAGATTAGTGCCGGCGACTGATGATGAAGTTATGGAGGTTGCGGACTTGCTTGAGGATGATAAGGGTGACACTGGGCAGACTGTGGGATGCACTTCCCTTGATGGATTGCCATCTAGCAAGACTCAGCTGAATCACATAGAAGGTCAATTATTTGTCATTCTGATTTTTTCATAACATTGTTGTTGTGCCATAAGGGTCCGTTTGGTTAGGGAAAAAAAATGATGGAAAGTGAAGTGAAAGAAAAAAAAATGATAGAAAACATATTTTCATGCATGTATTTGGTTAGAATGAAAATTTTACAGGAAAGTTTTAAAAAAAATTTATTTTATTGTTTGAAAGAAAGTAAAGTTATAATTTTTTTTTTATAATTGTCTAAATTACCCTTAATTATATTAAATAGGTCTAAAAAAGAAAAAAATATGTAATTACAATTGAACGTTAATTTTTTTTTAAAAAAAGTGGCTCGAAACCTAATTCTAAGACAATCACCAACACAAAGGTTTTTGAACCAAATTATATGATTAATCAAATTCATACCAAATTTTTTTTAAATTAATAACTAATAAAATATTTTAAGAAAAATAAAGGTAAAATGGGAAGTTAGCTATAGATCTCAACTTTTTTGTATTTCCTTGTGTTTTGTACAAGAAAAAAAAAGTTGGTTATTTGTGAGAAAATTCAAGCATAAAAGAAAATTATTTATTCTATCATTTTCTTTTTCATGCTAATCAAACACATTAAAATTCTAAAAAATTTCTCTTTCTTGCATTTTCTACCATTCTCCCGCGAAACAAATGAACCCTAGCATTATTGTTGTTCTCATTAAAATTTTTGTACCCTCACCCTGGTATATTTTGTGGGCTTGTATTTCAGAATCCCTCTTGATTTGTTTAAGCGTATATCTAACAATTACATTACATTTTTTAGCTGTTACATAATCAAATATATTCTTGGTATGGCTTTCTCCAACTCACCAGAAGTTCAATACCAGGGTTTGTTCTCCATGCACCAGCTTTCGCGATCATTTGATCTGTTTGACTGATTTCTGATTCTGATTTCTTTACCTATTGTTAGTTTTGGTCCCATTTTGATATCCTTATCTGAATGAGAAATACTTTCCAGGTTTATTACTTTCGGAGAATCTAGAAGTTGATGCTGAAAAATCAAATGCACTGCTTGACACAACAGTTGACTTGAGAAAATCAGATGCTCAACTTGAGGTATTTTTTCAGCTTTCACAAATATCTTTTATCCCCTGTATGTTATTTTCTGTTTCCCCATTGGTAGAACGAATTAGCTATTCAGGTATAGAACTGTGAGTTTAGCTATTCAGGCATTGCGGCTTGCCTGAACTAATAATTTTTTGTTTTTGTTGTTGCTGTTGCCTATGATTCAGTGCCTCTTGTCGTCTTCTTTTGGTTCTTCTTCCTCCTCCTCCTCCTCCTCTTTTTCATTATTGTCAACATCATCATCAGCACCATCTCTTTTGTAATACTAACAAGAACTACCAGTGTCATGCTCATGGTTGTTGTGGACCCCGTTTTGGCCTTAAAACTCTGTGGATGTATTGAGGAGCTGATGCAACATGTTAAGCTGGAATGGGGCCTCCAACCTGTTTCTTGGTCATCTAGTCGTTTTTCTGCCTTTGTTAATGTAGAGCTGGTGTCCTGATGAGCATGATTACTCCTATAGATGAGAAGTACTAATCCAATGTTCCCTTGCAGGAAATTGTTCCTTCATCTGTACTGGGTTCAGAAGACAGCTATATAACTCAGTCTGGAAGTGTTGGGCAGTGCTCAGAGCCTCCTANAGGTAAAATGGGAAGTTAGCTATAGATCTCAACTTTTTTGTATTTCCTTGTGTTTTGTACAAGAAAAAAAAAGTTGGTTATTTGTGAGAAAATTCAAGCATAAAAGAAAATTATTTATTCTATCATTTTCTTTTTCATGCTAATCAAACACATTAAAATTCTAAAAAATTTCTCTTTCTTGCATTTTCTACCATTCTCCCGCGAAACAAATGAACCCTAGCATTATTGTTGTTCTCATTAAAATTTTTGTACCCTCACCCTGGTATATTTTGTGGGCTTGTATTTCAGAATCCCTCTTGATTTGTTTAAGCGTATATCTAACAATTACATTACATTTTTTAGCTGTTACATAATCAAATATATTCTTGGTATGGCTTTCTCCAACTCACCAGAAGTTCAATACCAGGGTTTGTTCTCCATGCACCAGCTTTCGCGATCATTTGATCTGTTTGACTGATTTCTGATTCTGATTTCTTTACCTATTGTTAGTTTTGGTCCCATTTTGATATCCTTATCTGAATGAGAAATACTTTCCAGGTTTATTACTTTCGGAGAATCTAGAAGTTGATGCTGAAAAATCAAATGCACTGCTTGACACAACAGTTGACTTGAGAAAATCAGATGCTCAACTTGAGGTATTTTTTCAGCTTTCACAAATATCTTTTATCCCCTGTATGTTATTTTCTGTTTCCCCATTGGTAGAACGAATTAGCTATTCAGGTATAGAACTGTGAGTTTAGCTATTCAGGCATTGCGGCTTGCCTGAACTAATAATTTTTTGTTTTTGTTGTTGCTGTTGCCTATGATTCAGTGCCTCTTGTCGTCTTCTTTTGGTTCTTCTTCCTCCTCCTCCTCCTCCTCTTTTTCATTATTGTCAACATCATCATCAGCACCATCTCTTTTGTAATACTAACAAGAACTACCAGTGTCATGCTCATGGTTGTTGTGGACCCCGTTTTGGCCTTAAAACTCTGTGGATGTATTGAGGAGCTGATGCAACATGTTAAGCTGGAATGGGGCCTCCAACCTGTTTCTTGGTCATCTAGTCGTTTTTCTGCCTTTGTTAATGTAGAGCTGGTGTCCTGATGAGCATGATTACTCCTATAGATGAGAAGTACTAATCCAATGTTCCCTTGCAGGAAATTGTTCCTTCATCTGTACTGGGTTCAGAAGACAGCTATATAACTCAGTCTGGAAGTGTTGGGCAGTGCTCAGAGCCTCCTATTGGATCAGTCGAAAGTGGGACTTCAACTTCTGCTGTCTCTAATACCTTGAAGCCTGATTTCTCTAAGTTAAAGGGTGAAATATGCTTGGATAAAATGTCAGTTAAAGAACTTCATGAAACTTTTAAAGCAACATTTGGACGGGAAACTTCCGTCAAGGACAAACAGTGGCTTAAGAGGAGGATTGCCATGGGATTGAGTAATTCTTGTGATGTTTCAACTACAACTTTTGTAATTGAAGATAATGGAGTGGTGAAGAAGGGTAAACAAGAAAGCCTTAAAAATGTGGATAGTACACTTGCTGATTATGATGTAGTTGGAGCAGTGAGTGAATATTGCAGAGGCTCACCAAGCGGCCAGAATGATCAAATTGAAAATCCTTTACCTCTTCCTGCAAAGAGATTGAGGAACCCTAGCTTGGAACATAATTGTACTAATGAAGATGTTCCCATGGAACATAGAGCAGAGAAAAGAGTTCGGAAGCCCACGAGGCGATACATTGAAGAACTTTCAGAAGTAGAATCCAGAGAATATGGCGGAAAGTTAATCTATCCATTTAAAACCACCGAGTGTGACCAGTCATCTCCAAGAACTCGTGCCAGGCCCCTTCTAAATGTTCAGTCAGATGGAAGATCTCTTGTCACCAGGCAGGATTCTCTTGGAGGTTCTGGGGTTCAGGTTCCATTTGTTTGTCGGGTTCGAAGAAGCCGTCCAAGGGAGAATTTCATGGCTCTTATGGTAATGTGAAACCTAAATTAGTTGAGTAGTATGGATAAACAGTTAACAATTTTGGCTTAGCAAATGTGGTTTTTTGACAATTTGGTATATGCCATGGTTAATACTGTGCAGCCAACAATCATATGGCTGTTTCTCGTGCACCGAATTGGTACACAGATAACAATTTGGTTTAGCTAATGTGGTTTTTTGACAAATCTGTATATTGCCACGGTTAATACTGTGCAGCCAACAATCATATGGCTGTTTCTTGTGAACAAAATGGCTTGTTCGAAGTGGTACACATTCTGCTCAATAATCCTTGATAACTGGTCGCTTGTGAAGCGAATGTTTGAACTTATGAATATTCTCAATTTGAATCTATGCAGAACCTTTTAGTTAGTGTTTTGCCCAGTTTGCATAAAAAGTGGCAATCTTTGTGGATCTAATTATATTTGTAATCTCCTTGTTTTTAGTGTTGCTGATTATTTAGAGAAAAGAGGTGCATTGTTTATCAATACTATCAAGCAATGATTGATGTGCTTTAAATTGCTAGTTTCAGAAAGTCCAACCAAGCGGCATGGGCATGACAGCAAAACTGGTGAAAAGGGCCATTGGTGTATGTGGTCCGCAACTGGATAATGAGAGAGGAAACAAAGTCGGCAATGCCCGGCTGCCCCCTGGATGGACTCAACAGCCTGTAAGTCTGAGTTCTATCCTAAATTGGATTTGTTAAATCGCACTTGTTGACTGATGAAAATTTAATTTATATTTTCCTTTCGATGGGGAACTATGATATGTTTTGTTTGGTGTATCTAGGATGTGTATTGGTGTCCAGTAAATGAACCCATGGTTTAACTTCCTTTCCCTCTGTGTTTCAGTTTGGTTCGACGCCCGACTTATACTTACTTATTGTTGGGCGCCATCAAAGCCCATGTTTAGTTTGGTTTGATTTGGTCTATATAAATTAGATTGAAATACAACTGCATAGAGTGCAGAATTTTTTGGCAGTGACACGAGGTAAGTAAAGGTTCAAACTGCATGGGTGACTAGGATAAAGAGGATATACATAGGGGCATTTACATGGTTAATTTTGTTTTAGTAATTTTGTAGAAGTGAGTACAAAATGTGATATAGGACGAGTTTGAACTTTGAAGAACCCTCTTACAAATCCTATTGCAAGGCTTGGTGTGGGGAAGCACTAGAGAACCCTTTCTTTGTAGATTTTAAATTGTGATTTGAAAAAAGGAGGCGTTTTCAGTAACTAAAGGGTTTGGGTAAGACTTAAGAGCTTGAAAATATAAGGATTTTGAAGGCTTACCAGAGGGGATGATATTCAGTGCTCTGTTTTGGCAAGAAAAGGCAATGAACAGAGCCGTTGAATAATAAACCTGTTGGCTAGTTTGTGCTAGTTTGTTTTACTTTGATAGTCAAATGAAAGCATCAGTCTTGTCAAATAAGAATGAGTTCATAAATTCCAGCTTGGGATTTCCAAAGACTAATGAAGTGCTGACAATTGAAAAGAAGAAATCTAAAGGAAGAAGCTGGGCATCACACACAGGCCTGAGGTTAGAATTGCAGCACATAATTTTGAGAGAGTAATTGCTGGGAAACTGCCACAATTTCTTCTTTACATTGAACTGAAGAAGCTGCATTGCTATATGTCTGACGTTAGAGTATTCTTTAACTCTAGTAGACACTTGAACTGATAAGTTTGAGGTTTTTGTACTAAAATAGATTTTTTGACCCCCCCCTTTCCTAACCACAAAAAGAATAAATAAACAAACAGAATTGTTTTTTAATGAATAGGACAGGTTTTCCCAGTACGTTTCAAGTTCTTGCAATCTGACATTATGGGTGGTGGTTTTGAGTTTCTCACAAAAAGTTTGATGTTATTAATGTCTTCGCTAAACAATTGATGAATGTGTACTGATGCTAATTGAATGCCTTTGTGCCCAGCATATTGCTGAAATAGAGAAAGAAAAGCAGAACTTGAAAAGAGAAGCAATTGAGTTGGATAAAGATTTGGAGCTGAAACATGTGGATTCTTCCGGGGATAATTCAGATGATAACATTGTAACTGTGCCCACAGCAAATGGTGGAATGAGAAGGAAACACCATCGACCATGGACTCTCGGTGAGGTGGTTAAGCTTGTTGAGGGTGTAGCTAGGTACGGTGCTGGTAGGTGGTCTGAAATAAAACGTGTTGCCTTTGCATCATATTCATACAGGACTTCAGTTGATCTCAAGGTACATAATTAATTCAATAGAAAGTCACTGGGGAATATATAATTTTGCTCAATGATTGTTAAATGCTAGTTATGGGATTGTGTTTTGGTTTTTGCTGAGGTAAGTGTACCGAGCTTTATTGTGCAGGACAAATGGAGGAATCTGCTGAAGGCTAGCTTTGTGCATTTGCCTGCAGAAAAAGGGGTGAGCAATACATTGTTATGTTTGTGTTTGTGTTTGTGGTTCACTCCGCAAGTTTTTGTTAGATTATGGATGTGAAACATATATCTTTATTAAAGATGAGATCCTGGATGTGTGACCATCCAGAAGAGGAAGATACATGAATTATAGCACTTTCTTTGGTGGTAAGTTGTGCAATGTTTGAACCGTAGTTATCCTGCTTCTGCAGTATGGTCATTGTTTAGTTAATTGGTCATATCACTGGGGTGACTGATTGAGAAAGTGATGAAGAGGGAGGGGGGAAGGGGTCCAGGAATTACATACAGTCGTTTTTATTATTGTTTTCTTTAATTGGTGATATGTGCTCAGGCACCGTTAATGTTTGTTATCAAGTACATGATCATCTCTTGTTTAGCACGTTTTCTTTGAACTATTCTGTGGCAGCATGATTGTAATTGTGAGTCGTTTAGGCATCCATATAATAGGCATAATGAAATTCATATCTTTTGGGACAAACCTCTGCAATTATCTATTGGAAATTTCAGAATATTTCAGTTAAAATTTCTTGTAACAGAGAAAAAGAAGAGCCCAATGAAGGTGATAGTGATTATTTCTCATTCTGTTTCTGTAAATTCTGGTACTTTTAATTGTATTAGTTTTGCTCACTTTTCATAACATCTTCCTAGAAAAAAACAATGCAGATGCAGAACTCGAGGAAACATGCTTCCATGCCAATCCCTGCTGCTATTCTCCTGCGAGTGAAAGAACTTGCTGAAATGCAAGCGCAGGTTCCACCAATTCTCAGCTCAAGTAAATTTGCTGGACATGGTGGTGAAAGGATACAAGAAACAAGAGCTGGGTACTTGTAGCATTGTAAATAATAAACTAACCTTTTTTTTAGAAATAAGAGTTCTAGATATTTTATTCTTGTTTTAAAGTAGTTCCTTGATCCTCATATTTATGGTGGATTGATTGGCCTTTGTCAAGTTGTGTGCTTCTACTGACATTCTTATTTAGTTTCTGTACCCTGCTAATTTCTCCCCCCCATCCCCACACCTGCGCCGGGGAGAGGGGGGGGGGGGGGGGNGTACTTTTAATTGTATTAGTTTTGCTCACTTTTCATAACATCTTCCTAGAAAAAAACAATGCAGATGCAGAACTCGAGGAAACATGCTTCCATGCCAATCCCTGCTGCTATTCTCCTGCGAGTGAAAGAACTTGCTGAAATGCAAGCGCAGGTTCCACCAATTCTCAGCTCAAGTAAATTTGCTGGACATGGTGGTGAAAGGATACAAGAAACAAGAGCTGGGTACTTGTAGCATTGTAAATAATAAACTAACCTTTTTTTTAGAAATAAGAGTTCTAGATATTTTATTCTTGTTTTAAAGTAGTTCCTTGATCCTCATATTTATGGTGGATTGATTGGCCTTTGTCAAGTTGTGTGCTTCTACTGACATTCTTATTTAGTTTCTGTACCCTGCTAATTTCTCCCCCCCATCCCCACACCTGCGCCGGGGGGGGGGGGGGGGGGGGGTTGAAGTGGTTTTGGAATGCCTTCCACATCAGGTTTTGCCTTAAATCAAAGCTATGTTTGCTCACTAGAGGACTACTGGGAATGAGGACTTACTGTTCTCACACAATAGGAAGAAATAGATAACTAATTGTTTGAACAAATTTTGCAGGTATGTCATAGGAGTCTATGGCGGAGGCCTGCATTTTATATATCCGGTTTCATGGGGTTTGTGGTGGTTCATATTTCGTATCCCACTGCCTCTTGCATATTGATTGATTAGATTCACATCATGGTTTCTGGATGGGGAAAGGTCATTTTTTGAGCTGCATACGTTTTTATTTCTTTCATCAAGGGATGTTTTTGGGTAGGAAATTGTACCTTGTGGTAGATACTCTGGGGAACACGAGGAAGGGTATGAGAATTAGATTTTCGAGACATTGCTTGCTATTGATACAAAGCGGTTTCGGAACAGGAAAATTTGGATTCCCTTATGAAGAAATACCAAACAATTCTTATGGTTTTCATACTTACTCTCAATGGAATAGCAATAATGGTTAGTTTTAACTAGCATTCAATAAGTGACAATTGGTGATCCAAAAAAAAAAAAAGTGACCACTGGCCATTTACCAATGTTATATTGCCAATTTTATTTTGCAGACCGAAAAAGCGTCCTAAACAAAAGTATTTTGTTGTGCTTGGTTATAATTTGGGCGGGTTAACCCAAGCCTATCTCTAACTCAGCCCGAAAAATTCCGGACTTGGGATGCGCCTCCCTGTTTTGTAAGAATTGGGGATCCAGACTTATAAAGCTTACAGTTTAAGTCTTAAAACATATTTGTTATTAAATTTTAAATTAGTGTTCTGATTTGGTAGTTAAGTTAATTATGAATTTTTTTATTATTAAAATACCCTTACTTCGGTTGTATATAAAGCCAAAAAATTTCAGACAATACTCGAGTTGGTATTTAGAATTTATGGGTTTAACCCGAACACAATTCAAAATAATGTAATCGACCTCATCCCAACATTTATTAAAAAATAGGGTTAATCTCATTTTACACTTCGAAAGATTGTTCAAATCTCAATTTGTACCCTTAAAGATCAAAAATCTCAATTTACACCCTCAAAGATAGAAATTTGTATCAATGTGCACCCCCAAAGATCAAAAATCTCAATTTGCATCCTCAAAGATAGAAATTTATATCAATGTGCACCCAAAGATAAAAAATCTTAATTTGCACTCTCAAAAATAGAAATTTGTATCAATGTGCACCTAAAATTAAATTGATAAATTATACCTAGATCCCTTCATACTTGTCACTTAATCATTTAGATCTCTTCACATTTTGAATATTACTCCTACATTTTATGACATTTGTACACGTATAACATGTAACCCATTTTCATTGATATCTATTAATATAACCATTAAAAAATATAATTTTATTCTAATAAAAAATTATAATTTTATATTACCTTTTATTTTATGGGTTCAATATATTCTAAAGTTCAAAATCTAGTTTACCATTTGAATGTCTAATAAAATGTAAATATTTATATAATATTTTTCATATTACCTTTTATATAAATATCTACATTTTATTAGACATTCAAATGGTAAGCTTAATTTTCAACTTTAGAGTATATCGAATCCACAAAATAAAAGGTAATATGAAATNAAAAAAAAAAAAGTGACCACTGGCCATTTACCAATGTTATATTGCCAATTTTATTTTGCAGACCGAAAAAGCGTCCTAAACAAAAGTATTTTGTTGTGCTTGGTTATAATTTGGGCGGGTTAACCCAAGCCTATCTCTAACTCAGCCCGAAAAATTCCGGACTTGGGATGCGCCTCCCTGTTTTGTAAGAATTGGGGATCCAGACTTATAAAGCTTACAGTTTAAGTCTTAAAACATATTTGTTATTAAATTTTAAATTAGTGTTCTGATTTGGTAGTTAAGTTAATTATGAATTTTTTTATTATTAAAATACCCTTACTTCGGTTGTATATAAAGCCAAAAAATTTCAGACAATACTCGAGTTGGTATTTAGAATTTATGGGTTTAACCCGAACACAATTCAAAATAATGTAATCGACCTCATCCCGGCATTTATTAAAAAATAGGGTTAATCTCATTTTACACTCCGAAAGATTGTTCAAATCTCAATTTGTACCCTTAAAGATCAAAAATCTCAATTTACACCCTCAAAGATAGAAATTTGTATCAATGTGCACCCCCAAAGAT